CGCCTGTTGAATAATACTTTTTTGTCCTCGAAAGTGATTGCCTTGTACTCGTTCCACTTGCCCACGTGGGTCTTTTTGTGATGGACTTGATAGTTGTCCGTTCGGTAAGGTGGTGCAAAGAGTTTGATGCTCTGGGCACGCTTGCGTTTGGCACTAGAAATCTGTACCCCGGCATGGAAACGGCAAAACTGGCACTGAACATTGTCAATGACACTGTTTGTGTGTCGAGACACCACCTTAAAGCCGTACTCGACTTCATGCTTTGCTTGAAACGGCTTGCTGCGAGCTTTCTAGTCCGCCAGCGCCTTGTTGACTGACATCACCATCTTCGCGAAGTGACTTGTGTGCGCATTCAACTTCGCCAAAGCCCGTTTACACTTTACACTTTACACTTTACAACATAAATACTACGCTCACTAATTTTTGCTGTTTTTTTTGGCGTCCTCAGCACTCTTACATTTTGCACTTTTGGCATTTAAGGGGGCGTTTGTTGAATTTAAAGAGGTCTGCTATAGGGTCTGTGTGGTAAAAAGTAAAATTTGTGAGTTCTATTTTTTCTAAGATGCCAAGACGTCAAACGCCACGGAAGAAGCCTAAATGTCATGTCTGCGTTTAAGTAGCCACATCAAGGTTCATGGTAGCCGAAACAGGCTCATTGATGCAAAATTTTAGTTAGCACAAGTGGTGTTTAGATGTTGATGTTTAATGCAAATGCGTTCATGCTCTTGCTTTGAGCGAGCTCGATTTCCCGCTTGTACGTGTCGGTGAAATCCTGTGTGTATGTCAAGTGTGAGCAAAGACCATATTCTGAGCTGTGTTTATTGATGCACATTGAAGAGAATTGCATTCAATCGTTTCAATCCTAGAGAGCTCTTCAGCGGAAGTGAATGGGGTGATTTGATATCTGCTCTAACGCAAAGCTGGATTTGTATAGTCTTGTGTATTATGCGATTAGATCTCAAGTAAATGTGGTTTCTACGTCTTCATAATGTAAATCTATCTTTGAACAGATTTTCTCCAAAAGCGATTTCAATTGGGTGAATATGTGATGTGAGGCACTTATGCAATTGATCACATTTCATCGTTTGCAAGTTGATGCAATTAGATGATTGTATTTTCTGATTCAAGTTACTTGCCGCAGACTAGTGGATGTGTCAAACGCTGAGCCGGTTGCTAAGAAATTATGTGCTTCTTAATCGACACGGAAACATCTAAGTAGTTTTAGACGCGAGATTTTTTAAAGCATTCGAAGATATATGAATAAGATGCATGATTGAGCCCGTTTCCGCTACCAAGAACTTTTACGTGGCTACTCAAACGTAGAGGTGGCAGTTAGACTTCTTTTGTGGCTTTTGACACCCTGGCATCTCAGAAAGACTAGAACTCGCAAAGCTTACTTTTTGCCACACGTATCCTACAGTCCAATTGCACCAATGACTGACGTCCGTATAGTAGGGCGAGGGCTAATTAGACCTAGGTGAAAGATGACTAAACGCCCCCAAAGCCTATCATCATTTAATACTTTCATCAATCCGTGTTTTTGATTATATTTACATATTTCAACGGTTCATATTTACTGCAATCACACATACTTATTTGTAAAATACAATCTTTCAATTTAATGTACATTTAAAAAAATGTAACTATAAAATAACACTTATGACACAGACTAGAATGATTTTTATTCTTATCAATCAATTCTTCATCAAAACTTTGCAAGATTAATTGAATATAATTAAAACCATAAATGTGATTTAATTTTTTTTTCTTTGTTCAACAACTTCAAAAACATGCAAAAAATGACATATTTTGTGATGATAACTCCATCAAAGTTCATTTGAGTAACGCGATACTTTTGTTTATTTAAGTAGTTGATGAAGTGTGATTATAAACACAATAAAATTTTGTTTTAAAAACCTCTTTCATATAACTTCAATCAAACTCTAAATGTAATTCAATTAAAAATACAATACATCTCATTTGCTAAGATGTAATTTAGTATTAATTGTAGTTGAGGGCTAGTTATCCCTCACTTAGGGCTAAATAGCCCTCATCCTACTATAAGCGAATCTCTCATTGGTCTAACACCCTACCCGAATTGCTACTCATACTAGAACCTATAACCCTGCATCTACCAATCAGAGAAGAGCCCGAGTAGAGTGAGGGATTAATTAGCGCTAAGTGAGTGATAACTATCCGTTCCCTAATTGTATCATAGATTTACAACAAATATTAGACAAAAGTATATATCAAAATGTCATTTGTGAATTTACTAGATTACTCATAAGCTTAACAAATCTATATTAAAAAAAACTATAAAACTACAATTGATTTTCTATAAGTCTTCGCAAGCTAGAAAGCAGGAATATCGAGATAAAATTTTGTAATACATATCACATCTTTGATTTTTGAAAATAATAATAATTTTTGATTAGTTATAAAGGGAAAAAAATATTTCAATGAGTTAAAACTACATTATAATAATAGATTATGTTATTATGGACCATGAAAAATTGAAGTAATTCAAATTAATTTTATTTGAGTAGTAGAGCAGAATGTAAAGGCTGACTTGCTCCAGTCAAAAAGTCACGCCTGGGGTCACAAAAGAAGTCAAACGGTAGGACGGTATGAAAGTATTATGGTCAAACATCTTTTCTGCTATGTATGCATGTAAGGATACTAAATACTAAATAAAATGGTGAAAATACTAAAATATTTTCACCATCGATGTGCAAACAATCATTTCTTTGTAGATTTATAAGATGCAATGATAGAGACTTGCATGATCTGGCCAATTAAAAATGTTGGGAAACAAAGGTAGTGCTAGAATTGAGAAGAGTGGGAACAGTACAGAGAGTTTACGGAGATATGACGTGGATAAAGGTTTCCATGAATGAAGGTTTGGCAAATGTTCTATTAGCCTTGTATTTTGAAGCATTCCGACCGTTTTTCCAAGCAGTGTACGCGGATTTCTTTATGTGTAGGCTAAGGGGAGATGTCGATACGAAATATGTATAAGCGCAGCTCGCTTGGCAACGTATCAAGCTTGTTCGGCGTGATTTTGTCTTCCCATCAATAATAATATCAATGTGGTCCCGATCCTAGCTCGTGATTTCCGAGGAGTGCATACCTGTGTATCGACCCATCCAATGAACCGAGAGTGACCTGAGCTGAGGATGAGGAGCAACATCGATGGGAGTCATCGTGATACGTACAGCGTCAGGGTCTCGGGTTTTATCTGGAGAGGTCCATTGGAGTTCTCGACTGCCATCGGTCCTTGCAAATCACACCATGTGCCTTGAGACGTACGTCGTCCCGAGGTGCTGGATGCCATCTAAATGCGCGAAGGAATACGACGTCTGTTCAGTCCAGAGTTCTGGGGGCACTACAGCAACTGCTACTCTCTTATGCGCTAAGTTTGGTAAACTTCCAGGTGGTCTTAGTGGCAGATTCACCGACCCGTATTCGATATCCTGGAGCTCAGCGACGACGTCATAGGAGGACGAGGTCTCGGGCTGTTGGATGAGGTAGGTCTTTCCATGTATCGATTCACTTGAGATTCTTAATAGTAAAGTTGACTACGATCTTTACTTCAGAAGAACATGGGAGTTATGAGTCAAGAAGTTCTACTTCCAAGCCAATCAATATTTTATTCCCCAAAATTGTTTTTAGTAATAAACACAATAGAAGATAGAGACATCTTTATTCATCGAACATCGACATGGCTGCCCGTGGACTCAGACATAATCACTTGCGAGGATTTCTCAAACAGGAAGGAATAAAGGAAGTAATTGTGAGGGATCTTAGACTTTGTCTCTTACTTCTTTAATATGTTATTGATAGTTACTTAAACCACTCGCTTTCCACGAAAGAATCTTTCATTCAAGTGTCATAATGTAATTCTCCATTCATATCCAGCCATGAACTCAAACGCAGCAACAACTTCCTAGGAACTAACAACCACTATTGTAGCCAAGCGGCGATATTTTATCTGCAAATCCTGGAAAGACATACCAGACCCTGTACTTGGGGGCGTTGTGTTTAAGAATCCTATTGAGATTCTTCCAACCCATCGCTACTGTAGAGAGGTGAATATGTGGGCCAGAAATAAACATAAGAACCCCAAAAACTATCAATGTGCACGAAAAAAAACTCATTCTGCATAAAGGCGGGAAGCGACGGTCGACTTTCAGTCTCGGTCTACACAAGATTTCCTCCTCTCGTCTTATACAGATGAGCTAACACTAGTCATCTGATGTTCTCCCTCGGTTTTCGTGTAATCTGTTACGAGGTTCTGACACTTGTGCGCACTACATGACTATCATCAAGAACACCAGAACCTCAAGGATCCTGGACAAGTAGACATGAAGCCACTGGTCAGACGTTGACTTGACTTTCCAAGGTTTCCACAGAAGAGGTCAGATCAAGGTAGGGCCCTCCGAAGTTGCTGGCTGTCAGGGAATGCTCAAGACTTCGGCCTTGGCTTTTCTACTTCAGGTCAGCTTCAGAGCTGGGCCAAGGTTGTACATGGTGCCACTAAGACCTGCTATGTTTTGCGCACAATGCGGTAGCCCGTTTGACTACGAGGTAGGTACAAAAATGATTGCACGTTGTTTCCTAACGGCATTCTGCTTCTTAGGTGCAAAATGAGAGACTGCATCCTGATACTAACCTCCATCTCCGCACCAGCATTTCCACAATTCTGTCTTACCGGTGCTGTAGAGAGCAAATCTCATCCAGCCGGAGGTAGTTGTAAGGTAAGTTCGACGCTCATGGGCGTGCCTACTTAATCCTTTGAGTTTTATAGCACCAAAATATAGAAGAAAACATAATATATAAACAGAACTAGAAGAACCCGTGAGCACAGTCAGTAATGAGTACAGACTGCATTTCAAATGGGAAAGACACTTCGTGAATTACGCCGTGAGATTCACATGTACAGACCCATTGGTATGTTCCGTGCATACATAGTGCGCTTTGCGATATTGAAAGGAAAACACTAGGTTGGGCCAAATTTTTTTTTAAAAAAAGCTTTACAACGTCAGACTTCTCAAGATAAGGATGTTGAGTGAATGAAACGAATTTTCGCATATCCATAGTGCATACAGGTATCAACAATTCCACATCCTAATCAGGTGTCCATCGTTTCTAACACAAGCTGGTAATGACCAGACCTTAAGGTTGTCTTGATGAATTTTAAGACCCGATATGCAGCGCTCCTGAACTCCAAGTTTCTGTAGGCACCAGAACTCTTCGGGTTCAGAAGTGCGCAAACAGTCAACTTACCATCTCGCACTTGGCCATTTAGTCAAATTTATCATCATATGTCAACCTTTCAAGCGACTACAAATCTCTTGAAGCAAGCAATATCCATGCACCGGTTCATGTTTGTCCCGATCATGTGCAAGGAAACGGTGTATATTTTAGATTGTGCTGTACGTCTCTACAGATTCCATTGCGCGCAGACAGATCGCGTTGGCTGTAAATGAAGATCTCAGCTTTCATGCTCAGCAACTCCTATCCACTTTTTCTGTACCTGAGTTTTCTTGCGAAAATGCTCGCATGAAGAGGTGTCTAGACTGGTCCTCGCCCGCAGAAAGTACGTACTCGACGTCCATGTTGTCAAATGTGGTTCCTCTCCCCCATACGTACAACTACTTTATTCACCATCGATGCGGTTTCTCTGTACATGCCTGCACTAGGAGATGCAGTGCCTGCTGTTGCAGGAAGTAGCTGTGAAGGACAAATGCCGATGGGCAAACATAAAACCTACCTCAGATTAGTAAATCGAGAAGTTCTGTTATGATCATATTGTGCAGATAACCTTGCTGCCCACAGGCTCTGTTCAGTGTCTGAATTTTCAGAATCACCCTGTACCAGTCCTGCCAAAGAAGCTGTATATATAGCTAAAGCTTCCGGTGATGTGTGTAGGACTGCATCCTTGAGAAGTTCCCTCGTGTTCATACCCAGATTGAGATTCTTTCGAGCTAAATCACCTATTACACCTTGAACTAGATTCCGCTGCAAATTGCCAGCCTCATCCTTAGGCTTGCAATTGTCCAGCATCCGAAAGCTGAGAACACGAAGTGCCTCCGCAGCATCCTCGGTTTGACCAGCTTGCATGTAAGTAGAAACCACTGGTAAGAACGTCTGATCATCTGGAGAAATGTTGCTGCGTCGCATCTCCTCCAACATGTGTTCCATCACATCAACCCGTTTCTGCAAAGAACAAAAGGCGAGTTACAACTAGCTATCAGAAGCCAAAGTGGCTTGATAGCGGTTTTCTCACGAAAATCGTGAGAAACATTGGATTAAAACCTTACCCCGTAATTTGCTATCATTTGTAAGACTTTGTACATATGACGAGCAACTGTAAGACGGTTGACACACAAAAGGCAGGTTCTTCAAAACTCTTTTCCCAAATACACGTTCGCTTCCTTCTGGCAGAACATACTTGGTAGGAAGCGGACGTCAGAATAGTGTTGAATGTAGCCGTATCCGGTTGAACACCTGAGGCCGTCATTTCTTTTAATAGATCAAGAACAATATCCATCTCCCCGCTATGACAAATTACCTGCACACGAGAAAAAGTTAGCGGGAACGTGTGGAGTCATATGGCAAGGGTCTAAGAGCTATTGAAGTCCAGTCTAACACCCTTGCCTCACACAATCTGAGCACTACATTGCCTCCTGTCCTTTCTGAACCCAAACGGGAACTCTAACACAGTATTCATGTCTTCAAAACTTTTGAAACTCACTTAACATAATTTTCCAATCAAAACTTTAAGACCATCAAGCTATTTGACGGGTTCGCAGCTGTATTTTTTTTGACCAAAAAAATCTTGTATGAAGAGCTGTTTATAAATCAATTCACACCTTTAGTAGGGTGTTAAAGGTCACAACATTTGGAGATAAACCATCCTGGCGCATTGTATCGACTAGCTCGAAAGCAGTGGACAGTTTCTTCTCATGTGTACAACCATTGATGAGTATGTTATAAGTGTATTCATCGGGTTTGAAACCGGCAGACTTCATTTGCTGGTAAACTTCCCAGGCTGTCTCGACCTGTGCAAATCAAGAGAGAAAATGTCTTGAGGAAAGAGCTGTGGTAGATGACATCGGTGCTGCATGACAACTTAAATATTAAGAAATGGAGCGCTAGGACAAAGTTCATACCTGATTTACGTTGACACAGCTGAGGATGACGGTATTAAATGATGTGACATCCAGAATATCTTTCCCAACTTTGATGGCATCCTTGAGTCGTTGAAGCATGAGCTCTGTTAAACCTTGTGCTCCTAACACATGCATCTGCGTACATACCGTATGACTTAGAAGTCAACAAATGATCTTAAAGCCCCAAAAGAGGATAGTTTGTAAGCCAAATGTATTACCGACATCTACAACTTAAAGTAGCTTTCTGAATGAAGGAACACTTGACACTTTCTTAAATGGCATCTTTCGGCTACCTACAAACTACGCCAAAATGATAAAAGTCTTCTCCGTACTGAGTGAGGGAAGAACGGATTTAAGACTAATGACGACCTTCTGACATAATAATCTGAAAGGGTTCTACTAAGTCCGCAATCCGGCCTTGACGTACAGGAGTTTGCTATGAGTGATCCAATCATATGCCAAAAGATCAATCTGCTATTGATTTGTAACTAACTTGACAATGAGGTGCTAATGTAGGAAGGCAAGCTGAACCATATCAAAGTAACCCCCAAAATGCCCACCTACCAGAGAAGTGAAAGATTCTCGTGTATGCTGTATGCCAGACTGATCCATATCCAATTCTATTGCAGTTATTCTCTTTGCCACCTGTCGTTGGGACCAAGGACTGCTTCCCTCTGGCTCTGATCTAGTGTTACCCAAAACGGTAAATAGGGCGATGTACGTGCATATGTCTGGCTCAGCACCGAAAGCTTTCATCCGGCCAAAGGCTTGCAACGCGCGCTCAGGATCTTCCTGGATCGACAGAACGTCAAAGAACGTTAAAACCTTTCCTTGGAGTTAACCAACTGACCCGAGACAGCTCGATATAATTTACACATGTGTCTTGCCTCTTTCTTTTCCGGATTTGTCAAGGGTTTCAGTGCAACTGCCAGTATCAACACCCAGCTCTCAACTGAAATTTTTTTCCAATTGCTGCATAAATGTGATAAGCTTACCGCAGATATACAAGCATTGAGAACTATGTTGTATGTGTGGCACGAAGGATGCTGGCTCCGGCTACCACTCTCCATGTAATCCAATACGTTATCAACTTTACTGAATTTCCTATCGCGACAGTACGCTTCCAGAAGTGCAGTAAGAGAGTGCACATTTGGCTTTATACCGATGGTATCCATCCTCTTCAGCTGTTTTGCCACGTTCAACGAATCACAAAAACTAGTGAATTATTTGTGAAAGCAGACTGGAACTGAAGCGAGAAGACCGAGCAGATTGAACATGTATTTCCAACTCATTTTAATCGTATTCAGTAATATCTACGGTGTAAACGATTCGAATTGAGCAGGAGGGCAAAAGCAGACAAGATATCAGGAGCCGCTTCTTCATCATGTGGGGATCCTCTTACTCCAACGACTTGGCTCATTTTCATCTAGTCGTAAGGTTTTCCTAGGTTCACGGAACATTAATCAAATAGACTGCAATGACATGGCAACGTGAAAGAAACAAAGTAACGAAGAAAATTGTCTTACGATGCGTAGCCCGTGCTTAACACCTCTTCCTTCCAGTACGGCTCTTAAAAGAGCGTTGTAAGTGTATATGTCCATTTTCAAACCCAACTGACGCATCTGCGTCAAGATTGCACAATTCTTATCAGATTTTTTGTCAGTCCCTAAATCTTGGAGGGTAGGAGGAGAAAATAAAACTGTAATAATTGAGGACATTTTGTGTCAGATTATTACCTCTGAAAACAAGCATTCTGCAAGGATATGATTCTTGGCCTTTCCAGCAGCATTGATCATGGCATTGTATGAGTTTTGCAGATCTTTTAATCCTGTGGAAGTGATGTCTGAAATTTTCATTCCCCGCAGTGCTAACTCAGCAGGAAACCCCGGAACTTCAACGTCCCCCTCAGTGAACAAACTCATCTCATCCTCTTTGCCGTTAGAACTAGATGTCCGCTGTGACTCGTTGAGTTCCGGATCATCAGACTCTGAGTCTAGCTCATTTAAATGATTTGAATCATCAGAATCCTTGTCAAGCTCATCTATGGCTAATTGTTTCGATCCATATTGCTCGGATAAATGCTCAGCTTCCTCATTTTCCCCACTAACTGAGCTCTCCATATATTCTTCTGACTTTTCACCAGATACAAACCTGCTTTGCTGAGTGGCACCTTCGTCTAAAGGAGTAAGGTGAGTTGCTTTTCCATGTCCATACACAGACACCAGGTCTTGTAGTGCTTGACGAGCTTCGTTGAGGTCATTCATTCTACAAAGTGCAATTATGTAAGAGGAACGTACGGTTGAAGTTGGAGTGAACTTTCCTACAAGTTGAGTCCACCACCTTCTAGTGGCACTCAAGTCTCCCAACATTCCTGAAAGCTGCAGACATAAGTCAAGGACAATGCTTTCAATACTCAAGACTCTGCTGAGTTACCCACATTCTTACATCTTCACAATTGACTTCATTGGTTTACTACATTCATTTACTGAAAATCTTTTGGTTAGCTACTAGCAGATGTAAACCATAACAAACATTACACTAGACACATACATGCACAACAGGACCGTAACAACGATACGTTGAAATTCTCTACCGTACCTTGATAAGCTCCATATACGTACGTTCATCTTTCGGAACACCCTGTTTCTCCATTAATTGGATGCAGCGTTCCGCCTGGGCTTTGCTTTTCGTATGCACGCATCCATTGAGTACAGTGTTGTACATCACCAGATTCGCTTCATTTTTATTTGCAAGTAACGTCAGTAACTCGGTTGCCTGTGCCCCACTAAATAAAATCAGACTTCACAAATTGCAACCATATTTCAAACACATCTACTTTGCATGGACATATATGCATCAAATTCACAAGAATAGTTTGGATCTATCAGGTTCCATGATTGGTACCAGTCCAGAACAAGGAATAGCATTGTCTACAACAAGCAGCAATGTAAGATGATATTTCGAACTCTAACCGTACCTCACCGATACAACCACCTCTGCTCAGTGCACCAATGAGGCAACCATACGAGACTTTATTGATCTGTATTTTATTCGACTGCATAAAATTCCATACTTCCTTTGCCATCTGTCAGCCCAGAAAAAATCCAATCAGCTTCACATAGATCCATACTAAGAACCATCTGATTCATTATGTCTGACTACCTTGCTTCAGGCTTCAACATTTTCTTACAAATGCCTAAGGGCAATCAATATTCACTGTTGATCATACAGATATATACTTAAAGCACAACCCTCCTTCTCACGACTCAACAAAATAGATGAGGCATGGGTAAGCACAGACGAACCTTTGGATTCCTGCTCTTAGAGCAACTATTGAGAAGATAGTTGCAGACCACTACTGTAACTGGACTGTCCAATGTCTTCATGTCCTTGATAAGTTTAGAGGCATTGTTGTCTTCACCCAGTTTCAGAAGCTTTGCAAAGAGCTGTGTAAGGTAGAAAACTCCTGGATCCCTGTCTTGTGTCACTGCAGTCGAACTCTTTGGATTCCCTGAGCATAGATTGCATTCAAAATGTAAACTATCAGACCATGCTGCAGAAACGTCGCTTGTCTTCAATGGACCTCTCTTAAACCCTTGGCCTTAACACGCATGCATATTTTCCTCAGAAACAAGGGCGAGTAATTTTGCCCATGCCCAGGTATCAGGTTCAATGTGACTGTCAAGAAACAAAAAGAAACGCTTAACTTTTTATTGCAAAGATGGTCACCAAAATGAACTTCATTCCAGGGTAAGAACCTTCCAGCTGATTTCTTGAAAGCATCTTCTAATGAATTTCCTTCCAGCTTATGCTTGGAACAAATCTATTTTTGAAATGATGTAAGATTTACCAGTAAACGAAAGAAAGAGCCGCTGTAATTTTCGAATCAAACACAGGGCCCTGTAAAGTTTTCCGATTAAGAGTATCGAAGGATCGTGAAGATCTTGTGAAATTTTAACACTAGGTTATAGAGATCCACCGGCCAATTACAATCCGAGCACCCGCAGTCCAAAAGCTTATCGTATTTGACAATATGCAGAAGCAACATACAAAGCCAAGCACTTTGCGTTCGACGACGTTCATCATAGAGAAACATTGGTGTATATCGTCAGATAACTCACTGCTGGTGATGGTTGGGAACACTATATCTGAGCTGAATGCACGAGTCGACAGTTGAGATGTGTCCAGATTGATGTGAGAATTCACGAGCGCTTGCCTCTTCCCGAAGCGCTCAAGCACTATATACCAGCGGGACATCATCGCTCCCTCACCTTCGAAACAGAGAGCTCGAAATTGGACACTCCCTTTCTTCAAAATATGTGGCCACCTCCCAAGACATGTAGCGTCATATGAGCCAGGTGTCTCCAAATCTTCGTTCTTCGAGTACGGCTGATGCAATTCGAGTTGAAGGCCGCGGATAAGCAGTGACCATTTCCGTGGTGGAGTTTAAAAACAGGACATTGAGATAATTTCATGTAATGGTCCCAACTTGGTCAGAAAATTGAACGACTTCGTACCCACATTCAAATTTCCCATCACTACACTTTTGAAACCGACCTCGTGCTCCAGCTTAAAGGCATTACTCACATCAACAGTGAGTGTCGCAGACCTCGACGTACACGCTTGACAATAGCCTATACAGGAATTATCTGCGATCTGCTGACACTCAGCAGGTGGCATCTGTTCCACTACACCGCGCACGAAAGGTGCAGGTGTTGACGACAAGATTAATCTTGTCAACTGAAATCTCTCCGTGACTATGAATAAACTGGTGAACTTTCCCCGAAGTAACAGTTGATCCATTTGTCGAGCCTTATTGTGCGTTTCGTCCTGGTTATTAGTCTACAATCAAGGTTTCTTGTCCGGCGTAGTACTTACAATTTACGTGGTAGCAACGCCGCTGTGGTTGCCGGTTATTTGGCTGGCTGATTGTGTGTTCATCGAAAAGTAATAGAACTGGACTCCCAGTCGGAGTATTGAAATGTTTGGTTTGTACTCGTAGGCAGCCCACTTTGATCTGTGTACTCATTATTCCTTTGACCAAGCGGTTTACAGAGCCACATGAAACTCATAACCTATCTAGCCTTCTGCACACTAACGGCAATTAGGCAATTAAGTCACGGGATGCAAAAGTACCATTCGTCTTTCCAAATCCGCTAAAAATCCTTCGGGTGCTCTGGTGTACAAGAATCGCATTTCCTCCTAAATGAAACGGTCGTATAAACTGTTAATCACTAGTCACTCCTTGGACTCCGCTGATAGTGGATCCCTGTAGTCTTCAGCTTAACTAAGCTCTGTTATTTACATTTCAGATCTGTTCAGAGGTAGATTACAGACTCTGCACCAGTTTTTTTGGAGACTCCACGATCACAAAACTTGCTACGTGATTTGTGGATTGATTTGTTTCTACACATTTTGATTTTGAGTCCCTTCCAACTTTAGCTCCATACAATTCTGACTGAAATAAGTTGCATTTATGGCTGTCTTTGTGCGTCTGTGTATTTCAAGATGCTACTCCATTTAGTTCAAGGGGGGAACGACACAGTTGATTTCACGAGCAGAGAGTTACAACATGATTGTCCGCTGACTGGACAAAAACGCCTCAAAAATTACTAGAATCCTTACATGGGAGTCAATAATAAGAGAATAGGGCAAAATTTCATTCATGAACAACAGTGAACAATCTCCTTGAGAGCGTTTGGTCATGCCTCCGGTGAGGCCACAGCTAACAGCTTCTCCCCGGATGGTGGACATGCTTCAAGTTACAAAGCATAATTTCTGGATTACAAGAAGTGATCCTTTTCCTACCAATACTGAGTGCAGTCTAAAATCTTCATGTGGAACAATCTCAATTGGTTGTATCACATATGAGGGTACCCAAGCCATCCACCCCCGGAATAGGACATCTAAATCGGCTTTGAATCTGTAACAGTTTTGAAACGAAACTCAAAGGCCTTCTCGGTGTTTGTGATCGTCTGTGAAGGTTTTTTAAATGCTCTTACGTGGTTGTTGGCTTGAGAAGAGAATTGTGTGGCAAATGAACAGCACATATAGCATCCGTCAGTAAAAATTCAACTGCAAAAATAATCTTGATTTGCAGGATGTGGAAGACTGAAAAAGACATCTGAGGGCGGTCTCCCTATACTAACAACCAAAACTCTAGTACGACCTTCCTTGGCAAAATCATGAGCAATGGCACCTTGGATGAATGATGCTGATAAATTGAGAGTTAAACATGCAACATTTGACGCACGCAATCAATCCGAATTGTGTACTGTACAATCTCCACGGTATCAAAATGAGTTCAGGGCTTCCAGTTGCCTTTGCAGGTCTTCCAAATCTCCTTCAGCATCCACAAAAGACTCTGAAGATATGACAGATTTGTCCAAAACTTCGGAATCTGGAAGTTCTCGAAATAGACCCTCTGGTAGATTCCCTGCAGCATAAAAAACTCCATAAGACTTCATAACTCTGAGCTGAGTTAAGCATAGGGATTGACCTAGACTTGGCAAAATGTCTTTCCAATCTACATCTTATGTCACAAAAAGTCACCGAATTACAAACCTGAACTTGATGGTATATCAGGAACCCTTTCACGAACATCCTTCGGTTCTTCATCATCCATCAAACTGCAGACGGTGAAACATAAAAGTCAACCACTGAAACATTGTCCGTTCGAAAAGTGTACCACAAGAAGCAATGCACACGGGACCTACTTCTAACTTCAAGACACCGCAACTGGCCAATCAGCGTATAATTATTAGTGAATGACTTCGGGATATTACATGACATATTTCACTCAAATATTGTTCTTTGATATACTACTGTACTCCCTCATGAAAAGGGGCGAGGTGTGCGACGCTACCATATGTTCCACTCATTTTCTTCGTGTAATGATACAGTTGCTGCCAACGCTTCCTCAGCAGCAAGTCGTTCAGCCTCAGCCTTTGCTGCTGCGTCTCTAGCTGGTTTTGTTGCTTCAAACTCACGCTGCGAAGTGCTCACGTTGTTTACGTCATCAGTCGAAGAGCGCAGGCAGTATGGCCGAGAGACAATCAATGACATGCATATTTTAGGATACTCATAACAGGACTAGATTTGTCCTCTTTAGCCAATAACAAATAACAATTTCCCAATAATATATTTGCGATAGCGGATCTAAGTTTCTGCCAACATACACTTCCAGTATTCATGACAAATAATCTAAACAAATCAGCTTCACAATTCAAAGCTACGACTCTGCTTATCAATGTATTTATCCATATTAGGGTGAAATATACCTGGCGCTGAAGACATGAATTATTTGTACACTGAGGATTGGGCTTCATCTCCATTGTTGGGAAAAAATCTTTCAAAGCGCTGTAGCCCTGTTTTACAGGATCCAACCAATGGGATAAGGTTACAGTTCTTCATCAAACGATAAGGCTTAGCGCACGAATTTAATGTTGAAGACATGCCTATATCATCACATATTACTGATGTATGCTGTTGACAGCGAAGCAGTACAAGGATATTCTAGCATAAGGTTTGGCTTTGTTACCAGATATTTCGAGACCACACCAAAGCCGAGAAGATACTTCAAAGTATTCTGTACTAGAAGTCCCGCAATGATTCCCTGCAGTGCAACAGACATGATCACACCTCATTCTATGAATCAAAACATTTTTTTGAGCCCCAAATCTGTGGATTTCAAAATTCAGAAAAGCAGAACTAGTGTCAAATGTTCAATATTTTCGTCGTAGGTTATACCATGGTGGTAGGCAGCGATGCAGCACAAACACCTTCACGCTTCAAGGTCTTTTCATCAATCCCAGACGCAACTACCTGGATACATAGAACAGGAGACCAGTGTGTAAATTGTCCAGGTGACGACCAAGAGAAGTGGTGCAGGCGAGAGGTTTGTACATGAATGGACCGGCAATAGAATCCCAACTACAATGTAAAGGAAACTGTTGAAACAATTGAATAACAGTGATCAAACACAAGAGCTTAGCTTGCAAGGGGACCAAAGGCGACGGACCCGGGAGGTACAAATGCAAGGGCTCTAGCTATGGCATAAATCGATAAATTGTAGAAGCAATTGTCTAGACAATTGAACAATCTAATATTGATTATGACATAGGCGACAAATATTGTTACGGACTCCCAGATAAATACTCTTATGCTTGGCGGGAAGACAGCTCCTAAAATGAGGCTCCAAATTCAACTTACTGAGTCTATAATGCCCCAAAGCTGGGAGCTTCAATCTGATGGTAAGGGTATGAGTTCCCGTTATGAGTTTCACACACAAAACTTAAGAAGCGACCAGTTAAGTATCGCAAGTTCTGGCCTTTACCAAAGGTGGAGCACAAGCGAAGCATGCAGTTTCCCCAGGAATTAACAGTTGTATATGACCAGACACAGCATCTTCCGAAACACCTGGACGTGAAGGAAATCGAGTGAGCCATGTTGCATAATTGTCATTAACCGTTATCCTTAACCTGTTATGAAACATTACGACCTACTTGAAACGTTTATGCTCCACACTGATGAAAACTCGACAATACAAGAGACACATTCAGGAAACGTAAGGCACCTGATTCCATCCAGGTTTGACCAAGTTCATTGCAGGCCTGCGAAAGAAGAGGTCGTAAGCTTGCATACAAGGTTGCGATTGAACCTGAACAGCGTTAATAACAACCACATACTAGATTTGGATAAGACATCTACTGGAACTAGTTGAGATACGTGTTTCTGATCTTATCAAACAAAATTGCACTATCTTCAGTACACAGAAGTATATACCTGATTGACAACCATGCGAGCTTCGTAGTTGTCCACGCAGCTTAGGACCAGGTCCACACCACTCTTTCCATCAAGTCTTTCTCCTTTCATATTGCGTGTCAAGCTTCCCATGAACTTATTGAATCCTTCAACCGTAGTGATATTTTGAGTGTAGCTCTGCAGAATAATTGGAAGAAAGCTTAATAGAGAGTATATTCATTTTGTCCAGTTATATCCCAAATTATTAAATTCTTGAATTACATTTGAGATGTATGCTCTGCAATATTCTTGTTTAAGACAAGTTCTTAGACATCTAGCCGTTCTTAAATATCTCATAGAACATGTGCTTTGAAAAAAGTGCGAGATAATCCAGATGTAAAGCCTACTTTATCCAAATGCTGTTTATAGTTGGGGTTTATGGTTCAAAGACTCAAACCTCAAGAACAACATCCGGGTTGATTCCAGTAAGCGTCTGCACTGCGGCATCGGTCTTCGTCATACCTGCCTGCAAAAATCCGCGTCCAAGATGACTGCAAAGCATTTGATGAACAAAGTACATAAGAAGATGACTGGTTAAAAGCTGAAACATTGACTTGAGGTTTGGGCAAGTAGGTACCTGATGAGGCTGAAAGAAAAGGCGATTCATATTGGCAAGCTCCACTGTGTCGTAGTCATATAGAAGCAAGCGCCCAATGCCACACCTGGTGAGCATTTCTGCTGCCACACTTCCCACTCCGCCTACACCCTGCAGAAGATTCGGTAAGTCAAAGCTCTGTTTGTCCAGAATATTTATGTCTCGTGCTCTTCACCGATATAAGAAAGAGCAGGAAAACCATCGGAAATGTGAGCTGATTCTCACAGCCGATCACAAGCTAGGCATGATGAAATAAAGCCAATTACCACAATGGCAACAGAATAGTCTCGTATTCTCTCGTAATTGTCAACGATGCCCATCCTCTTTAGTGCCATCAGTCTGCTGTAGGGATTACTATCCACTACTTCTGAGCTCATCACCTGTTAATGGTAAAAATACACAACAATAAGTAACTTGCCGAGATTTCATCGAGCAAGAACTCAAAGAAATGAGCGATGCAAGCCTTCGCTGGCAGAACAAATACTCGAAAGCTCGTTGACAGGTCCGATTCCATAACAAATGTAGCTTTCAAGCTGAAATTCATCAGAAAGAAGAACATCCTCTGGGATAGACCCGTATAAAGTTTCAGACTATCAATTAAGACGCTCGGGTAGAAGAAATTGCAGGTACATTGTCAAGCAAAAACCAGGCACTCAGCTGCAGCTAAAAATCGAGAGGAAACAGTAATGCAGATTCACACCTCATTTTCAGAAAGAACAATCTAGCAGCTTTGATCGCACAGAGAACACAAAGACAGACCGAAATTCTCACCGGGAACCCACAGAGATATCCTAAAAATCTAAAATCGTAAGATCGGAGCAACGCAAGCAGTCAACAAACGCACCCGTTTTTCCTTCGCCACAGACTTGGCGGCATCTTGTTCCGAAGGCTCGCCTCCGGCCATTTCGATGCCTCAGATACACCGACGCCGAAGGCCCAAACACTTCCAGTCCTCGACGATCCCTACGACACTTTTTACAGTAACTGCGCGATCAGACCAAACCACAGATACAGCAAAACTGTGGGCGATCGATCACCAGACCCGACGGAGAGCGAATCGGACAGACGAAAACTACTGCTGCTTCGTACAAAAACAAACGACCCGCGCAGATCAGAGCAGACTGGCCTGCGAGGAAGCGGCAGCAAGAAGAGAGCAAGGGAACAGGCGCATGAGTAGAAATGCGTTAAGATAGAATAATCAGAGCGCCCTGGCCGGCTGCGTCAACTTAGCACTCGCAGCGGCACATGGCTCTTGGCGACGAGAGTCCTCCCTCTCGTCCCTTCTCTCTCTCGCTCTCGCTCACTCTCTCTCTCTCCCAGATCTTTGACTCGACGAGCATGTGGGGCCCTGTCCGGGACTCGGTGGACCTGATTATTAGACACTGCCATTATTGCATCGATCCATCTTCGTCCGTCGTCGCCCTCTGTGAATGTTATTTTCCCCGGGTCCTGCTCGCCAATTCCCAAAGCCGTCTTCCGAGATTATCCGAACGTTCTTCATAAGTGTTATCATCTGTCCACGTAAGACGTGAAGTGCGAAACTTGTGTGCAAAGCATGATCCTGCGATATGCTTCTATATTTCCGACTGAACCTAAAAAACGATTTCAACATTTCGATACTGACCCAATGATGAAGTTCGTGATATTTGTCCCCTCCTCGACTAGCTTCCCGAAATTAAATGCACTCATGTTTAAACGCTACGAACCTTTTAATTCCTGTCTTCCATTTCTCACAGCCCCTGAAGTTAGAGTGAACGCTACGACTTCAGCCCTTCTTCGTACTTCGTTACTAAATGCATACCCTACGCAGTACTTCATGTCAACACCCCATCACTCTCATTGTTCTGTATTTTGGTAAAGTCTTGATCATGTCTGAAAGCGACTCTCCAATGTGGCTATCACACGCCTTACGGTGACGTTTTCTTCCCTTAGTAAACAATGACAAATACACATGATAAAAACCATACAGCTTACATCACTACAGATGTATAGGGTCATTTAATGTCTATGCAGACATAAAAGTTTACTTCATGTCAATTGCTACCCATTATTAAAATTACGAATAATAAATGTTAAGAAGTCATTTCTAAGTCCTTTCAAATTTTTACATACACTTGTTTGGACATAATTTCTATAGTGATGCAGCGCTTATCTTTTGTGATGATATCTACAAAACCCCAAACATTAATTTGAAATAGACAAAACAATATTTCATAATCTTTGTATGTCAAATATTTTGTACATAGTGGAAAAGTTTTAAACAAGATAATGATTGTAAAATCACAAGATTACCATAACAAGTACATAAATGTTATTTGTTTGAAAACCTTGAGATGCATTAAAATATTGATAATTATTTATTTAAACTCATATCCATGATAGATATTTGAAGATCACGAAATTCTTCAATGTACTCATGAATAACTCCTTTCTGCTTCAGATCCCACAACTTCATTTTTGCAGTTTGAAGATAATTCACCGCTTGAAAATTTTGCAAAAGTAATTCCTTCATTCTACGCCACGAAATGGTAGCACCTCGTTCTGAAAGCATTCTCTCCCATGTTGTGTACCATGTGAGAGCCTTATCCGTAAGATAAGATCTCATGAAAATTCTTGCAATATAATCAGATACATGAAAATGGGATAAATGAATATTCATCCGCATAATCCATCCCTCTAACACTCCCATTGCTCTACTCCCTTTGTAAGCTTCCACCTTACAGGATTTTCCCATTTGAAGCAAAAGATTTGCTTGATCTTCAATCTCTTGAAGACGTCTCCTATTTGCCTCTGCTGCATCAATAGGAGTTGGTTCTGGCTGAACTTGAGAAGTTTGAACTTCAGGTTCAACTTTCATCTCTCCAACTCTCTCTCTCTCTACTTTCTCACTCTCCAATGCGAAGATTTTATCTTGCATGACTTGCTGCTTGGTATGCCCATCTACTATCGCTTTCCTCAACTCCTTCATCTCCGCCATGATTGGATTGAGAACCTCACCCATATCAATTGATGTCCCCATGCTCTGATACCATTGTAACACTAAGGTTAAGAGAGAACCTCACTCGAAGATAGAAACGTAAACTCTGAAGATGAGAGATACCAACAATGGTTCTCCTCTCCCTTATATAGCTCTCACCAACAAGTACAAGGAGATAATATCTAATCCCTACCATCCATCCCACTCCTAGTGGATGTATGACGTGGCGGATAACCCTAACAAGCACACGGATCGCTGACGAGGCGCACCCAACTAACACACTCAATCCTTACCTACAAGCACACGGATTGCTGACGTGGCACTGTCAACTAACACATCCACTGTGTACCTACCAAGTGCGCGGATCGCTGACGTGGCAGCTAGCTCTAGTGCACACTAAAGTATCTACATCAATATTTAGAGTAACCTCTACTTTAGTTCTAACTAACTAAAGATGGTTACATGAGGTGACGGTCAAGAGGACGGCGGTCAAGACTTATCAGACGATTTCCCAAGTCCTCATCGCCAAACTTCAGGCGCACTTTCAAGACAAGATGGATGTCGGGTGCACTCTCGATATCTGGACTGAACCATTGACCAGCATCGCGTACATGTCGATGACGATGCACTACATTGATGCCGCCTTCAAGCACTATGCCCGCACCTTGCAGGTCGACCAATTTTTAGAAGTGTCACACATAGCCGTGACCATTCTCAAAACCTTCAAACATTGCATCATCCCCTTCATGGGGGAGTTTGACAGCATGAACATGCCGGTCAAGGAGCAGATCAGGGTCACCACCGACCATGCCTCGTACAACTATGAAGAAGACAACTTGCCTTCCAAGTTCCAGAGGAATGGCTGTGTAGACCATTTGATCAGCACCTGCGTGTTGTTCGTCCTCGACAAGTGGACGAGCATCGTCAACAACAAGAAGTCGAAGCCGTACTACCAGTTCTATGGTAACGCTCCCGCCATGTTCGACATGCTCAACAACAGCAAGGCGCTCAACACATGTGTGAAGCGAGTAGAGCTCAACAAGCAACTGACGCCGAAGCTCAAGCAGGTGGAGGCGACCCGCTGGATCGGCATCTTGATTATGACGAACAGTATCGATTGCGAGTTCGGTAGCCACCACGAGACGCTCGCCCTCCGCCACCAGGAGCAAAAGATGGACGTCATCGACCAACCGCTCCTACATGAGCTTATGGTGTTCCTTAACCTCGTCTAGATCACCACGAAGTAGCTCAAAGCGTTCAAGACTCCGATGTTGCATCTGGTCAACCACTGACGGAAGGTGCTGTTGGAACATTGCGACATTGTGGACGATGAGCGCGTGGTGAAGTACAAGGACGGCGTCGAGGTGAAGCTCCCACCTGATTCCAAAGACTTGGTGAACATCAAAGATTTCATCAAAGACCAGATTCTTGAGAATTTTATGCTGACAATCTGCATGCGGCGACAACGTACCTCGACCCATGTCACAAGCCGATCATCAGCAAGCTATAAATCGACGACGAGCTTCAATGCGAGGCCATCGCAATCATCAAGTTCACGATGGTCCGAAACAGCCCTCCAACCTAGACCAACGACGATAAGCATCCCGCCCTGACCACCTCGTTGTTGCTCAAGAAATTGTTGATGCAGCGGCGAGGAAGGACGACCGGGATGGCAGCGCACTTCCGTTTACGTGGATGGCGGTTGCAAGCACCGCTCGCAAGCGCGCTGTCATCTCGGTCGTCCTTCCTCGCCGTTTCATCAACAATTTCTCGAGCAACAACGGTGATGATAATCAAGACGATATCGACGGCGTTCCGAACGCTTTGACCTTGGAAATCCTAGTCATAGCCGAGCTGCATGTGTACGAGGCGTACACGCTCTCCAAGTCCGAGAAGATGATGATGAAAGAAACCGATGATGAGACCTTCCGAACAAGGATTCTGCTTTGGTGGAAATTGAAGGCATCGACTTGGCTCATCCTGGCGCGAGCTACACGATCCATCCTTGCAGTCTCGGTGGCCAGCGCCATGTAAGAGAACAACTTCTCTGACAGCGGTAGCACGGTCTCAAAGAAGGGCAACCAGCTGAAACCTTCCACGGTGAACATCATGATGTTCCTCCGTTTGAACATGGACATGATCAAATGGAAACTTTCCACGGTGAACATCCTGATGTTACTCCGTTCGAACATGGACCTGACCAAATGGAAGAAGTTCTGAAAATACAATACATACATCATCGTTGCCCACACCAACTATCTATATTCTGTCAAAGAACTATTGTCGCGTGTAGCGCACACAAGCACGAGCACGGGTTGGGAGCGGGTGCAAATTTCTGAGCCTTTGTGGGCGGCTACGGCTGCAGGTACGTCAGGATGCTCGCGGCCGGGCACGGTCGTGGGCAAACTTTCTCAATCAAATGTCATTCACTGCTAGATAGTAGCAATATTCAGATGCACAACACAATGGCTTCAAGGAGTTCCACCAATACAAACATGATCAAAGAGGTTCGGATAGCTCTTTGTGAGCACAAGCCAAATCATCCATCGCTGACGCAAGCAGATCTGATCAAGTGGCTTTTGGAAACGCATAAAGTTTCTGTTAGTCAGGAAACAATTTCTCTAACCCTCAAACATTCAGCTGAAATCATTGTAAATAATGTGGATGTGAAATGAGCAGCAAAGCAACAACGGACCATGAAATACTCACTGATGAATACAGCTCTTACCAGTGGTTTCTCACATACCAGGATCAAGTCAATATGTCAGGTGACTTCATCAAAGAGAAGATTGCGTACTTCCTTGCCGAGCTTTACTCTCGCTACGGAGTCTTTGACTTATCAAATGGATGGTTAGAGTCATCCAAAAATTGCCATATCATCAAGTCCTACCACCGCTTTAGGGAGTTTGGATCCGTCAATATGGCTCTGATTGAAGAGAGCTTGCCACAAATTTGTTTAACTTTGGACTAGTATGAGTGACGTGACATCTACAACATGGAAGAAAGTGAATTGCTTTACAGATAGCAAGTAAAAGCATCATGATATTGTATGCTCACTACCAAGTTATCGACATACTTTCACTAACATATGACATTTCAACAGGCGAACAATCTCTTTGTCAAAAAGCAACTTGAAGGACGCAAATAAAACAAGGAGCATCTCAAAGTGCTTGTGTGCTGCAATGTTGATGGCTCGGACAAGCTTCCACTTCTTGTAAGGGGAAAATACAAAAACCCTTGTTGTTTCAAATATTTCAACCGAGACAATTTTGATTGCAAGTACATAAGCAACTCAAAGGCCTAGATGACACAAGTCATCTTTGTCGAATGGCTGAAAGAGTTTGATGCGCGGATGGCAGGACGTAATTGTTTTTTTGATTACGGATAATTGCAGCGCACATATCCGGTTAATGCAGCTCGCATCTGTTCTTACACTTCGCAACACAATTGTATTCTATTTGACACCAAACATGACTTTGAAGATTCAGTCTTACGACGCATAAATTATCCAAAGCATCAAGGCTTATTATCGACGCTGTTTCAATCGTCTCCTCATTCAACACCTTAAGGACAAGGTAGCATATTTCAAAAAGATAGACGTCCTCGAGGCTATGCGCATTGCTGTTGCAGCTTGGAGCATGGATGTGAAGCCAAAAACAATCCGCAACTGCTTTCGCCATTTTTGAATTTGCACCACCAATGTTGATGTGACACCGATCCAGAAACAACTGCTTATTAATCTTGAGGTGATCAAGGAGCTCAAAGAGCAGGTTCAAGAGCTTCGATACCTGAACCCAATTGATATTCGCAATCTCATCGACTATACTACTGAGCGCAAGGTTGTTGATGGTCCGACTCATGGGGAAATTGTGCAAGATCTCTCCACCATTCTTGTGCTGGAAGATGAGGTGGAGGCCGATGACAGTCAAGAATACATTCCTGTGAAGACAACTGAAGCAGTGCAATGTGCAAGTTTGTTGCAGCAGTTTTGGATGAAGCAAGACATCGTCAACCATGGGATGATTGCTGCCATCCAAATAGTGAAGTACAAGATCAGCATTATGAGGTCTAGTAAGCTCGTTCATAATCCAATCTTGGAGTATCTTTCCAAGGTTTAGCTGCCCAAATGTAGAAAGATTTGTGCCATATCTATGTCTGCTACAGTGGTTATCAATATAAAAAAGCTTAAGGAGTGACTATAGTATATCAATTATTAATATATGGAGGTTTATCAATAAATGTATGGGGTCCGACTTGGGACTAGACCGCACATATTAGTTATCATAGATAATTAATTTAGGCAGTATTAAGTTAAACAGGTTTGACTGTATCGGTTACATCCAACTTACAATTAGCGCACACTGGATATTTACTTAATACTGCCTAAATAGTTAATAGGTTGTTCTTCCAATGGATTGTTTTGTTTTCAAACACCGCCACCTTCAAATATCTTTAACTCTGTGTGCATTTCTCAAACTTAGAACAATCAGAATCAATAATGATTATGTGTGTATATTTTCTGGTCGCAGGTTACTATCTTGTAAGCAAATTTTTTTTGTCGGTACTGGTCCACTTGTTTATACGAGATTGATGATCATTTTTGCTGTTTGACACGCCACCATTTATTTTCAACCATGATGGTTTCTACATAAGTTATCATACTTTTTGTACTTTCTTTGAGAATATACTCTTGGCTAAAATCTTGTGCTCACATTCGAAGCTTTTGGAAGTTTCTCTCATTTTGTAATTCCAACCTGGTTATGTAATAACGAAGTACTATCATGTTTCTACCTTGGTTAGGCAAATGAAGAGGAACAAGGATAAGTCGGATGAGAGCGCGAGGTAATGAAACAGCTTCTTGAAGCAATTTTTTCATGGTCCGTTCATCTATCCCAACGCGTCGTACCTGATTCTAGAATTATCTGACGAAAGAAAGTTATTTAATGAGAAACTCTCTTCATTTGTCCCATAATCCCAACAACTAAGTCTTGTATTTATGTTCAGATAGTGATGTTCAAATAGTGATAGATATTTGGGAGTTTGTAGGAGTCTACGCAGCTTCAAAAACTCTCTTCATTTGTCCCATAATCCCAACAACTAAGTCTTGTATTCATGTTCAGATAGTGATGTTCAAATAGTGATAGATATTTGGGAGGTTGTAGGAGTCTACGCAGCTTCAACATAGGTTGTCATGTGTATTCGTGTTTATAATTTTTAACGTCGGCCTAGGATTAGAAATCATAGAGAATATAGAGGGTAGAGTTCAATTTTGTAGTGTTGGGAATAGTCTTCAATGGTTTGACTATGGTGTCCATATACGTCGGGTTAGATTCTCTAATAAATGAATCAGTTGATTTTTATGTGAAGTTTGTGTAATGAACCATGGAGTTAACACTAGTGGGTTGCGAATGGTGCCCGTAGACCTAGATTCTCTGGTAAGTGAATTGAGTTTGACTTTTATGTGTCGTTCGTGTATTGAAATTGTGGTTGTTAGTTCTAGTGTACTATGTGTGTGTGAGTGTATAGCTACACAAATTAGCACAACAATCCAAATGGAAGAAAAGTGTGAAATCCTAGAAGTAAAATTAACAGGGTAGTTATAAAATGTTAAGACTATCGCAACGCTCCGCGGTTTCTTTCTTGAGAAAACACCAGACTAAATCAGACGAGATCAGTGCAGAAGCCCAAGTCAGAGGTGAGAGAGTTAAACGGGAGCTACGTAGAGCGAATTGAGCTGAGAATGCTTCGGCTTGGAACAGTCAACTCGTTGGGTGAGTTTAGTTTCTCCATCAAGTTTCATGATGGAGAAAACATATAAGGAAATGTTGTTCTCAGCCCGGATGAAAGTTTGGAACATACGACAGATGTTTTACCAGGAGCTACACATGCTACTTGAAAGGAAGAAAACTGACTTAGGAGTGAGACAAAGAGCTCACAGTCATTTTTAAGATTCTCAAGGAGAATAGATCGTCCAACATATGTAGATCATTCGAATAAATATTCATGCCTAATGCATCTAATTTTTGTCAGTTTATTTCAGAATTGTACGCTGTACTCAGGTTCTCACTGCAGGAAGGTGTGAGATCGGAGAGCTTAGAATAGGTTCGGTATGAGGTTGACACGTTTGTAACGTGCCCTGACCGCTGCAAACAATAACTACGCACATTCAAGTGCAGACGTAGACTTGCATTTGTGAACCACATCCTGCTGTGGTGGTTTAGAGAACACCACACTGGCACTCAGTGCCGAAGCCAAATCTTGGCGTTATTGTTATTTTGCAACTTCAAGTTACATATAGAGAAGTTGTCAATTCTTCACTGTATTCACCTTCATCCTCGCACATGGCCTTCTAGCCACCACGGATAAGGGGAGAGTCGGGGCTGATAAGAACACCGGATTCCGAAAGTGACAGGAGCAGTCACACATCACAAAAACAGGCCACGAAAACACAAAATAGAAGTTCACAGCATTCGGAACAAAATTGATATCAGAGGTGCAAGCCTGAGCACGCTGAAACCTTCGATGCTTTAGGCCTCAGACACCCGATTACAGATAGGACACAGAAAATTTACAGCCCACAAAATTGGACAAAGTTGAAAACCTCAACAAGTGAATGTATTTTATGCATAAGCCGTAAGATAGGAAATAATCATTTCCAGTCATTTGGAAGAGAATTCGCGACGCTAGTCTGAGAGGAGCCGCAGAAGTACGTATCGGGTGATCGGCAAGCAGCCCCACATAATCTGGAAGAAGAGATTTTAAGCGCCACGACTCATAGAAGTGATCCCTACACTTGAGCGTGCCGTTGAGCAGATCTCGAAAATGTTTTCTTCATAATTTTTTCTTTGACATCTAATTTAAACTCGGTCACTGACTTGAAAAAAATTGCAACAATCCACGGAGCCACCAATGGTAGAGAAAAGCCACCAATGGTCGAGCTTAGATAGCCAAGTATCTTTTCGTAAGTTGTTTACTCGCGACAAGGCTTGCAGCCGCAATTCCTCCTAGAGCACCCGCAATCGCAGCTGTCCGAGGTCCGGCGGCAGCTTTGTACAGCGCTCCGGTTCCAAGCCCCGCAATCACACTATTTAATACATCATCCGTTCCCCTGGCGTACCCGCTCCCACTCTCCATACCGGCGTAGAGGAGTCCCAAAATCCCTAAGGTGTTGCCGTACGTTCGACCACGGTGGCCCGAGGCGTTCAACACTCTGTTCACTCGCAACTTCATCGTATCGCCTTCCTCCCTCGATTGCAAACCCTCGGACAGTCCCTTGGCTCCACCGACAATCGCTCCAGCCAAATACCCACATCCCGTGTAGTAGGTCAAATTCTCACTCCAATTCCGCCTTTGAACAGCTTCTTCCTCCGTGAACAGAAATTCTGGCGTGCTCGGTAGACGGTAAAGGTTCTCCAAAGTCTTCAGATCGCTTTGACCGTACAGATCAGCGTAGGGATTGTAAAACCTTCCGCTTCCGCCCTCCTCAGACGACGAAGACGACGACCCTCCGGTTCCGAAAATCGACTCCCCGGAGGTATCATGACTCTTTTCCTCGTGAATCATGACTCCTCCCTCGCTCGACTCACCCACCAACCCACCACCGATCAAACACCCTATAGACAATTTCGCCTTCCCAACGGATCGCTCGATCCACCAAGTGAACAACGCACGCAGAGCCTTCTTGATTCACCGCTTCCGCTCCCCAATCCAGCCCTAGCTCCAACCCGCACTTTCTCAACAGCAGCACCCCTGGATCGACCACCACCACGATCAAGCGCAGCTTTCCCTTTCCCTCAATCGATCGACCCACAGACAAAAACCGCCACCGCTTTCGATAATCAGGCACCTCCCTCGACTGGCTGATCAGTACAATTCGATCGGCCTTTCCTTCACAATCTGCCTGATCGCAACAACGAACCTAAGCCCCACGCAGCAACCAAGTCGACACACACCGTCCAACAAACTGACCGACCGACCGAGCCCACCAGGAATCGTCGCTGTGCATCAACGAACAAGAATCGCGATCGGAGCGGTGGCAGGGAGGGGCAGCAGCAGCGATTCCTCGCTCCGCAGCAGGAGCCTTAGTTTGGCTTCGCTGGAACGTTCGTTGCTTGCCTTCCTCCGAGTTCTTCTGGTCTCTCTGGCCGAGAGGAGACTTTTAGGGTTTAGGGTGACCAGTAATCGGTTAAAAAAGTAAAAAGGGCGTCCCTTCTTACGTTCTGTGGCCAAGTGGTGGCCCGGTGCTGACGCCACGCTCGGGTCGATGTTTTTCCCCGCCACTGCCTCTTGGACTCCATCACAATGTTTTACGCAAGCGTCTCAAGTTGAAACGGATATATAAATAGACTGTTTGCTGGTTTAGGAGTTGTAGAATACAATAGCCATCAGCAGCGTTTTGGAGCGTCACAATCATCGCCACAAGTAGATTTACTTAGACAGACGAAAAGACAAGCTTTGATGATGATGGATGGATGAAAGATTTTCCAACATAAACTTCATCAGTGAATCGCAATTGAAGTGAAAAAAATAGCAGCTGTAGGAATGGAAATTCTCAGATTTGTTTGAAATTTGACTTCGACATTCGCGTGTAGATCTTGTTTCCAAAACTAATATTTCTAACAGCAGACTTCAAGGCAATCTTACTAAACTTGCTCTTGTTATTTTGATTATGGTCATATAAGAAAATGACCATGATTTGATTATCTTTAATCGAGTGACGGGCCTCGAATCAGAGCATAATTGTCCTGATGTCTGTTGGATCAGCCGACTTGATTATCCCCGTCCGAGAATATAAGAAGTGACTTCGATCAAACATTTCATCTCATTGGTTTAGTACAGCCCGTCTGTTTTTCTTTCGACCTGCTTCGATGACCGTCCTTAGGTTAAAGAAAATGAAATCCTGGTTGTTCCCTTGTGATTTCCTCGTCGATCTTTTCAGATGAAATACAAGAGAGACGCGCATCGAAACGCACCCAAGAAAAGACGTGCTTCATTTTTATGGACACCTCAGGATTCACTGACAGAAATATTTTAAAATAATCACCAACAGCTTCAATGAAAATATTTACCGTAGTAATTTGTTATTTAATGACAAACTTACTAACTCAGCTAACTAGGATAAAATTAGCCAAATTTTATCTATATCTTGCTTCAATCCTAACAATCATTAGAATGTATATGTGATATTACAAATTGCACCTAACGATCAAGCGCACAAAATTAAAGACTTGAAAATTACTTCTGCATGTTGTTGGTGTAAAAATTCATATGTAGACATTGCATGGAGTCAATGCATATATACGTGACATAGCAATATTTTATCAACATCAGAAAAAATGAGTACATGTATAGACCCATCAAGCCAATACAATTCGTACTCAAAATCAAGTATTGCCTTACATAGGAGTGCCATTTCAAACTTGGCCAGTTTGCGATCCTTTAAACAAGTCAGATAGTCAATAGGTTATTTTCTGGCAAATTTTCTCCCCTTCTTATATTTCTTGTTTTAAGTCGGTACGACCTTTACATTCTTGCAGGCCACTTATGGTGGCATTTCTGTTACTTCGGGAATTTGATACTCTGCGTTCTTGGAAACTCAGAGGGTCTACGGTTGTACGTATATTATTTTCGGTTCTACTCGTTGGTTCACATTTTCCTGATGTACGTTCCAAAAGATTGCGTATGTAGATATGTTCAATGAATTGTGATTAAGCATGTGAACTTACGAATCAGATATCTGGCGAATGGGACTAGCCGCAAGCTGATATTTATTTATCCACATTTTGTCTAATGTACAACTACGTTATCAAGACTATTGTAACTTGTCCTGGAGCTGCTCCATTTTGTTACACACGTAGTACCACCATTCACTCATCAGATATTTGCTTCTTCCCAGACTTTTTCGAATGGAATATTTCTCACTTAATCTTGCTTTAGAATTCACAAGGACTTACAGTACTGCAGTAATTATGTTATTGCTTCTTGTTTTTTAGCTCTGTAGATGTGATAGTTAACACCTTATCCATGAACAATTTACGTCTTAATCTCCATGAGAACACCATCGCCAACAGTTCGTTCTGACAGATACTTTTGACTGTGCATACTTCAGGTACTGTGAAAGCATTGGCCCACCCTTTGACAAACCTGAACCCATAATTACATGCAACGGGCCCGAGTTTGGACCGCAAACCGAACTGCCGCAAAAAAGGCCTTCTTAACAAATCAAATGTTTGCATTTGACGTCAGATCGTGATGATAGCCACAGTCATGTAATGAAAATCCATCCACTCTGCAAGACTAAAGTGGTCCTAACGCTCCTGCTCAGCCGCAAAAACTCCACTTAAATAGGACTCTCACCCCGGGCACACCACGTTAAGGGCCGATAAATATTCAGACCTGCACGTATGGCAGTCCATTTGAGTCGCTTAAAAAACGAAAGAGACTAGTTCTAATTCCTCGCTACGTTACTCTATTCAGTTGCCTCGCAAACTAATCTATGAACCCTCAGCAAAAGATGTCATAGAATGCCAGGACATAGCGAGTAAGATAATTTAATGTACGGGAATCAAGGGTAAGAAAATGCAGCCATTAAACCATGTGATACAAAATGACCGCTCAGACCAGAGTGAGCACAGAGATTCCACTTTTACTGGTATCGCTAACGAATGTCTCATAGACATGTCATGTTTCAAGAAGCTCTCTTCACACATTCGTCTTTAAAAGAGGGCCTCCAATATGTAACAGATTTATGCATGACACACTCAGATTCGCACCTCATGAGTATGACTAGTTACAATCGAAGCATACCATGGAATAGCAAAAGCTCTAGGTTGCCACACTGACCATAATTTCTTTCAAGTCATCAAACTTAGGCGAAGTATTTGCAAAGGACCCACTCTAGGCCGACTTATGATCATGAACAAAATGTAACCTATGAAGTTAAGACTTGCTCACCCGTATTCCGGCTTGGGAAAGCTACGGTGTTGCACGTTCTCATTGTCTACAGATCGATCGTCTCCGAGCTTCAGAATATCCTGCGTCTTTACATGTCCGGCTGCAAGATGTATGCCATCACTAACTGCACACTATAAATGGGATTTGAACCCAGCTGCACTCCATCGCTTGTTTTTTCGAACCAACTTTTGCTCCCTATTATCAACTAGCTACACCGTTTTTTGTTAATCCTAAGCCCTGGCAGTGAATCCTTCACAGGATGCACGGACCTACCTATAAAATACAAGCCAGACCAAGTCCATGGTATGACTAAGCGATGGAAAGCAATACCGGGTTCTATGCTGGCTCCAGAACGTAGATACTATGTTCAATTCGACCACACATGCACTAAGCCATGCCGGTTGCCAGTATATATTTCATTTCTTTCCTCGTCATAGAACAACGCTGTTACGTCTTCAAGAGCCTCTTGCACTGTACTTCTGATAATTGAAGAGTTTCCTCGGGCGCGTGGGCTAATGCCAACACTGGGATCATCTGCTCGTATTTTGGCAAGGCATTTGCCTGTGAGGATATTGCTTATGTTGATCGAGCCCACTGCCATGACAAACGATCACACCGTTATGAACTTTTTAGACAAAAATATCATGCCACAAAACCAGCATACATTTAATTCATCATCGGTAAGATTATGTAAGTACTGAACAAAGTCTGCGTTTAGTACCTGCTTCTTCGCAACAATTTTCCGGATGGGCCTTACAATACGATATAATCAGATCTTGTTCACTGGTAATGTATATGTTGTTAGTGTTGCAGTCTGGATACCACAAGAGGTGGTCTTCGAATGACGTTACCAACTCTCCCCGAAAGTTCCATACAGCAACAGTTCTGTTTCGAAACGTCAAAAATAGTTGATTCTCGTACAGAAAGATGAACGCTGACGGTGTCATAAACTCTGTTCTGCTCACTTCAGTAAGCTGGGAGTTCCGCACCTGTCACATCCATGGCCATATGAGGAAAGTTTTCACAAGCCTTTTCAGAGGTCCTCATCGCTAAATTATATGGATTGTACTGCAAAAACAACCTGAAGACTAGAGACTCCGCGCCCTTGTTGGGCGTCGCTGGAATAACATCAAATGACATGATAAAACTCAGGTAATATCCAGATTGTTGAGGCACGTTCACATATTAATTCATTCAATCTCCTACAGAGAAGATCTATGACAAATAGCTAAGATCCTGAAATGTAAATTTTCACTTACGTCTAATATTTGGAGATTTTCGTTCTCTTGCTTCACCAACAATTTTTCGTTGAATTGCTCAATAAAATCAACCTTCTTGTTACGATGAAGAAGATGGTTGAAGTGTTTGAGCACTGAGCCATCCTCAATAGATAGGATCTTGAGGGGAACATGACTTGGAGCTCTATCAAAAATCAGTAGCATTATACCCGGGCTGATGAACACAAATGAAAAACATAATGTTAGATTCCAAGGGCAAGGACAAGGATAAAAGCAGCAGATGTAACTGCTCAAGAAGCATTTCCATGTCATTATATCTAGATAACCTTAAGTGCTGACCTTATCTTGATTTCTTGAACTTGCTTGTCAGAGATAGAGTACAGCATAGTGTAATTTTTCAGGTCAAACACCTTGTAAATTCTGCAAGAATGGAAGCAACGTATGAGCAGCCTGCTATGGTTGAAAAAATTGACGTTGGCTTGATACGATTGACCAAAAAAATGTCTTCGCCATCGACCCTCACAGAGGCAATAAATGTGTTAAATATTTGAAAAAGAGAATTCATGAGGCAGTTGTCTACCAGAAACAAATTAACCGTTCAGTTCACTCACCGATCCTGTGCAGAATAAGTGAGAACCTTCCCGTTCACGTCATCAAATTCGACAAACCCGGGCCACCGTAAGGACTCAGACTCAAATAATGGGAAGCCTGCATCAGGTTGACCTCTTCGAATATACCTGCTACCCAAGATTGTAACTATTTAGCTCCTGGTTGCAGAAGAAGGCAGACAACGCTAACTTCTCGGTAATGAGTGATCTTAGGCGGGAACATTGCAGTAGATCAAAAGGAGTGGGAGTGGACAGGAGAAAGGACTCACTCGATCGGCGTTGTCCGGCACTTCAAAGAGCTGTAGTTGTCGGAGGCATAGACTGATACGGTGATAAGAGAATCGTTATTTTTATTATAGAATAGACTGCGGATGACCTCATCCGAGCTTATGTTCAGAAAGCATATTCGCTTGTTAGTCTCTGTGACACAAAAGAGGAGCGTTAGACACACATAAATTCAATATCGCCATGTCTAATGAACTAGAACATAAAGCTGAAAACAAGTTCTAAGAACATATGAAAGTCAAACGGTATACAACTGCATGCAACAACTTAGAGAGACTTAGATCGAATATTCTGCCAGTACCGCGGCTGAAAGCAGCACAGATCCCGGAATGAGTAAGGGCGAAGACGGTGTCGCGTGCTGCTACGATCTCAACTATGCGCGATCGTTTTTTCAAGAAGGGGAGCTTCAAGAAGTGGTGGGCTTTGGGATCATGTGTGTCAAATTCTTCCTGCACACAAATACGCAAAGGCTTTTAGAATTACCACCCATTTATGATCTTCGAGATACATACACTGATAACTGCTGCACAATTTTGATAATTGGAATATTACGAACTTTGTACATAAATCCTTACAGTTTTCTAAAGTACTTAAACGAAGGCATTGAATAAAGAAAAAAGCACAAAATCTACCAAAGATTTACTTCCAAGTTTGCATCCTCGACACATACCTACAAACTTTCTTACCACCACTCCTACTAAGCATGGATTCTCAATACTGGATTAGAAATAAGAGTAACCCTAGGAAAATACGGGTGTTTCAGCAAGTCATTAGAGGCTGCAGCCGGTTGATTTCAGACTACAGTACGGTAGCCTCCCGCTTAAGTACGCACCCGTTGAAGTACGCATCCCGAAAAGATATGTTCAGATTTATTTAGTTCAACTGTCATGCATTGTCATTTGCCGCAAGTTATGAAGATTCTTGCTTTTGGCTTTCAAGCTGACAGCCCGAACTATATCTTTAAGCTCGGTGGCATCACCGAGCTTCAACCTCGGTGAAACGACCAACAGAGGATCGAAAACCACTGATGAAGCTGAAGAAAACAATTTTCTCTTTAGCTTCATGTGCCATTGAGGCAGATCGCTCTAGGGTTTGCTCCCACTTGTCCCACACCTTCCTGATAGCTCCTTCACTAACATCGTATTATGTGCGCGCTATGGGAGTATCCGTCTTGCTCAGCTTCGCTATGATCTCGCATCCCTGGGACTCATTGAGTAAATTCCCGCTCGGCTTCTTCGACATTGCAGCCGAATCAAGCGATTAGGAAGTGATTTGTCTAAAATCCGGATCTACAATCCTCCCAGGTTGAAGTTGCGTAGTCTAAAGAGCGCACCTACAGGCTAAGTAGGTACAATCCTCCCAGGTTCAAGTTGTAATCTAAAGTGCGGAGCTAACGGCTAAGTACGCACAATCCTCCCCTGTTGAAGTTGTGTGCTTAGGCGAGAGGCTACTGTAATTCCCGCAGCAGTCCTAACTAAAGATTATTCCACATTCAGGAACCAGCGTACCAACATAACAATCTTCACATGACAAAACCAGTGACTAAATAAATTCTTAGTTAAAGTCAAAGCTTTCGTATCCCAGGACTCTCAGCTGTGAGAACTGACGAACAGACTCCTTGCTATAGAGGCTGAAGATACTTCCTACTCTCATAGGCCAGATACATCCACTCTTGATATCTCAACAGCATGCATCGGATTTGACTGTCAATCAAAGACTTGAACATGCAACTCGTGAAAAGTTGATTCCAAAGGAGTTGCTGGACTCGCATCCATGAAGGACGCTATCTACCGCATTTCACTGTCGATACCATTCCCGAACAAAAATGAAGTCATCAGGGTTTTGACGGTTCAAGAACTCTAGACTCGATGCAGCCACCTTTCACTTGTTGAGCTGAGAATCTAACAGACCTCTAGGAAAATTAAAAGCCTCTCACTCTTTCATGATCTTCGCATACACCTTGATGTAAATGCGAGAGTAATTGCCGGAGCTTTTGGCAAACCGAATGACATTTCCTTTCATCTTGGAATCACCGCGAAAGCAGAGAAATTTAACTTAAGTAAGGGTATAAGTGCTCTCCAGGCAAACCTTTAGGCTCTGCTAAGATCGTGCAGTCAAATGCCTATGAAAGTTGATGAAAGAAATGAGGTTTGAATCTTCAGAATGTCACCAGTTAACTCCAAGACTGAGATACTAACATGTAGTCGACCCTAGGTGGAAATGAAATATGCATCAGAACATCCAGTCTTGCCATCACTCAGACTGGCCAGTCACTTGACTGGCTATTCCGTCATAGACACGGAAAGTCACCGACAGCCGTGATCAATACCTTCAGTAAGTAATAAATTATAAGTAAGTGCCAACTAAAGAATTCTTGCACGAGAACTGCAGGTATTAGAAACGGTACAGTAAGAACCCTCTAATGATGTGCAAGTATGTCTCGGAGACACAGTGAAACACGGAAGACACGGTAGAAAACGGAAACACCAGCAACCACTGCACACAGTGCAGATCCCAACCTGCAAATGAATTGACGAAATGGGCACACTCCAAGCAAGTCTTCACGGAACAACATGCTGCCGAAACAATGATCACAGGGTAGGGTACTATGGGGCTCGACTGATAACGATCCGATAAGATGTGTCTACCCAACATCTGTTACTTATCTGATGAAAGCCGTCTTGTTTACCTTCTAGACAAATCAGAGAGCTCCTCAGATAATTATTACCATAGTACTAATAAGAGAAGAAGACTCAGCTTTCACTAGTTATCTTGTTACAAGTGAACGCAAGATCGATATCAAAGAGCTTTACCAAAGAGTACAGAGAGGACAGAGTCTACTGAAAGCCGATCAACCTCGATGAGTCAGATCCTTCACTGTGATTAAAACAATTTCGCAGAATAGGAAAAAGAATAGTAATAACCCTGCACAATAGACTCCCGCCTAATAACGCATCCGTTTAAGTACGCATCCCGGTACAAAACGCATTATTTTACCGAAAAGATAGTGCTCAGATTTACGTGGTTCAACATGTCATGGATTGTCATTAGACGCAAGTTTTGAAGAGTATTGCGTTTGGCTTTCAAGCTGACAGCCAGACTATAATTCATGAAGAGATGGCAGCTTTCATGCTTGAAGGAAAGGAAGCATATGGAGGTGACGAGATCTGTCGATTGATGCGCTGAGTTAATCACACATTTCCCACGGAAAGTGTGCTGATGGCTAAAGGAGACATAGGCTTTGTCACGAACTTACTGGCGCTTCTTGTCCTAGCTTTACTAGCAGGAGGAGAAGTGACTGTTGGGCCTGTTGCTCTGTTGCCTGTTGGGCCTGCGCACACGAACAATTGGGCTGTACTCATGTGCACTTCTCGATACTGGTTCAACTACCAGCATATCGCGAACAGTCTTTCTTGGCCATTTCACAAAGAGAAACGAACTATGGAGGATCGAAAAGTATACTCATTAGCTTCATCAACTATTGAGGCAGATCGGTCTCGGATTTGCTCCCACTTGTCCCACACCTTCCTGATAGCTCCTTAACTAACGTCGTACTCACGCTATAGCCCTTTTTACTGGGAGTATCCGTCTTGCTCAGCTTCGCTATGATCTTGCACCGCTGTGACTCATCGAGCGTTCCGTTCGGGTTTTTCAAAATTGCAGTGAAATCAAGCGATAAGGACTGATTCGTCTAAAATGCGCACCTAGCGGCTAAGTAGGCACAATACTCCCATGTTCAAGTTGCGTAGTAGTCTAAACTACAAACAGATAGAGGCCATATCTCCATGTTTCCATGGAGTTCTTCGAATTAATTTACTTGGCAACTGTGTCTGTTCAAATGCTCTCCTCACCCAAAACTTGTGGACGTGAGTTCCACCGTGGAGCATTTGGTCATAGATCATGGACTCGTTGAGCGATCCGGATTGAGAATACCACCCGATTCACTCCATACACAAGGTCAAAACTGCTCCGATTGACGTCTTCTCAAAGTTGGGTAAGAGCTCCTACTGACGATAAACAGCCACACAAACCATGGAGATGTGGCGGTGCGATGGATAATCACACGTTTGAACAAAGTGCAGTGTCACCGTCCGATACAAAATTACTCTTGCAATCCGTACCAACACTCCAAAACTATGTACGGCTAGCTGTGAAGATGAACAAGATTGCACTTTGAACACGCATAATACTCCCATGTTCAAATTACGTAGTCTAAAGTGCACACATACCGGCTAAGTACGCACGATACTCCCTTGTTCAAGTTGCATAGTCTACAGTGTGCACCTACCGGCTAAATACGCACAATAGTCACATGTTCAAGTTGGGTAGTCTAAAGTTCGCAAATACCGGCTGAGTACGCACAACCCTCACATATTCAGGTTGTAGTCTAAAATGCACAGTTACCGGCTAACCACGCACAATCCCCCAGATTCAAGTTGCGTAATCTAAGTGCGCAAATATCCGCTAACCACGCATAACCCTCCCAGGTTCAAGTTGCATAGTCTGAAGTGCGCACATACCGGCTATTTACGCACAGTCCTCCCAGTTCAAGTTGTGTAGTCTAAAGTACGCACGTACAGGCTAAGCTAACGCACAATCCTCCCAGTTTCAAGTCCGTAGTCTAAAGTGTACACTTACCGGATAAGTATGTACAATCCTCCCAGTTCAAGTTGCGCAGTCTAAAGTGCCCACATACCCGCTAAATGCGCACAATCCTCCCAGGTTCAGGCTGGAATACGAAGTGCGCACCTACCCGCTAAGTAGGTGCAATCCTCCCAGGTTCAAGCTGCGTAGTCTAAAGTGGACACCTACCGGCTAAGTACGCACAATCCTCCCATGTCAAGTTGCGTAATTAGGCAAGAGGCTACTGTAATAACTAGATTATAAACGAAATTTTCTCTTATTTGCGTAAGATCTCACAATCTCGAAGACGACTTTCCTCCGTTTTGGATGAATAGAGAAAGCCAAAAGAGAATGTAGGCCAGGCAAACTAAAAGAGAAGGTGATAACAGGAACAGGCAGCAAACCTAGGGTGACGCGTATACCTTCGGCTGTAAGCCATCCACGAGAAGTAAAATGAGAATGTGACACAAATCTCCGACTAAGACATGTAACCCAAATCATCAAGGAGAGCTTCATCGACAACCTGACAACAAAAGAATAGTTTTCACAACTATTGACAAATCGTTCATTCCTGATTATTCTATACATGCACGTTACACATTACCCTTCACCTTACGTTAGTCACTGTTAGAGAACTACTGTGCACTGAACCGTAAAAGTAAACTGAAGCTTTGATATGCGTTTGGTTAACATATCACCAGTGAGGTAGGAGCACTTGAGGACTGATTTCAAATGTTCAAAACGTGCTTAGCCAGGCGTATATATACCAGATAACACAGAACTCCGATTTTATATAGTCGAGAGATTTCCCTCTCCACCAAACATGTATGTAAAAGGCTCAAACTTAAAGAAAGAAGAAAAATAATGCCAAACCTAAAAGCGCCATACGAGCAGTATATATGCCTGCCTTGACAATTCTTGCACTAACACAGCATGGACTGCTGAGAGAGGATATTAAAGGCTCACATTGCGACCGTACGACGCCTCGTAAGAGGATCAGCTCAACCTGGATAGCATAGCTTCACAGTCCTAGAGTTCCTCCTTTGAACAGTTTTATGATGTGAGTGCAGAACACATGTCTAAACTCATATGCTCCCGATATACTGAGCTTCCGGAAATTGATCATCTCTAAGTCCTTTGTTGCTGTAACAACAACTGATTTTCATCGTACAGGCCGTTGAGGTTCAGTCGAGACAGACTGGCTGGTCAACAATAGGATGACCTGAAGTGGAGTTCGTCGACACACATGCTAATGAATGACGGTACATAAACACACCATCGTTCGGTGCACAACCAAAGAAGAAACAAAATCAGTTGGCTGATAAAAATGATTTTATTCAATTGCAGGTTTGAGCAGGAATAGGTTACCAACCTGAAGATGAAAATTGCGGAATTTTTCCTGCGAGTTGGAGCGATTAAATGCCCAGTTACCGGCACGACTAATCTCCCGTCTGAGTAATTTCTTGAGGCAGTTTTTCGAGTCGTCAGGGCGCTGCCGCTTACCAGCGACAACTCGGCGCGTACAGGATGGCCGAGGACTAGCCTGTTTCTTTAATCCTTCCATCTCTACTTTGTTTGATCTCCCGCTCCGCAAGGACCACTATCCCGCCTAAACTCACCTTGCTCTTCGGGCCTACCAACTTCCAAACCCTTGAACTAGGGTCTGGGCCATGTTTCGATCCCTCCGAGCTCCCGCCTCCACTCCACCGTCGGACGCACCCTCAATTCCCTCTGCTCACCATCGGTATCCTCTCTCTCCATCCCCGACGGTACATTCTAACACCGCAATTTCGGCCCTTCCTTTGAGCAGTAACGATCATACCCTCGTGCCTGCAAGCAGCGCACCACCGAACAACCGCCCGACCAAGCTTACTCGTTCTCCTCCGTCACCCTCCTTTTCCAAATTTCATCATGCACTTCCCCTCCTTCGTCCGATGCCGAACGACAGTGGCGAGGTGCACCAGCCTCCTGCCTCCATCGCCTCGGAAAATGAGGAAAATCACAACAGACCGGGGAGCCCCGGGGCCAGAAGCCTGAGCGAGAGGAGCTTGAGCCTAAGGACGAACAGGTCGTCGCGAAGAAAGGGGATTGGGGTCGAATGCTCGATTGGGGCACTTTCTTTCTTCTTTGAACCTTCTCCCCTGCCCCAAGGGGCCTGCCCTGCCCTCCTGGCCTGACCCGCCCTGCCCCAGCCCTGCCCCGGCCCTCATCCAGGTCACTCACATCCTCCATCCCATGCCCGCCATCCATGGCTCCATGGGCATCCATGCCCTCGCGGACATCACATGGAATCGCGTTGTTCTCTACGCGAGGGCATGGTATGGCATGACATGACATGGCACCAGCCCGGCCGTTTGAACTTTGAAATTTTGCGCTTTGAATTTTGTCCGCTCCTGCTTAGCAGCCTAATCATCGCTCTTACTGTGTGTGCAGTGAGCGGATGGCTCCATGGCTTTGGCGCGACGCGGATTTCGAATACGCCCCCGCACACGATTATCCACCAACTCTTTTCCCCGTCACTGTGTATCGCAGTTTCTAAATTCGGTTCTGCTCGCATCCAAGTTTTTGAACTTACGTTCAAGAAACCGCACACCGTCTCCAACGTGGAGGACGAGCAAGAAAGCGTGGCAATTGGCCTGTGCCGGATTCAAATCCCTCTGGCTTTCAAAGTTCCTTTCAGAAGGCTCCGCTCCATCCTTCGGCTCCATCCTTCGATCTGGGATTTCAAAGCTTTGCACTCTATCGGTGTAACGTAAACAGAAGCCTCCAGCTGTTCGTCTTTCCTTCTTAAAGTAGGAGTTCGAATACAAATAAAATCGGGCGAAACTGGCTGGCACAAACCATCAAACATTAAAACAGCTCTAAGTCCCCTAAAACAATGCTCAACACCATTAGGGAACGCTTGGACGTCTACACCGTATTCTGCTGTTATGATGAACAAACCCCCAGCTCTTCAATTCACGTTTTCATAGATCATCCTCCTGTACGCTTCAAGGACAGATTTGTGTTCTGATCGCACGCTTCTGTAATATGTGTCGGATTCAGAAAATGTTCATTCAGTGAGCTTCTAGATGTCAGCTTCTAGGTGTCCAACTTGACACCTGTTTGCCTACTCTGCTTGTACACCTTCTCCTCCAACTAGCCACAATTTTGCGCTTGTCACGAGCCATATTTCCATCTCCTCGTGTTGTCAACGTGATCTACTTGTTTGATATATTATTATATCCGCCGATTCCTCAAATCACGTGGCTTATTTTTTTAATGACTTGGCATCGAGTTGATGTGGGATTATTATCACTTGACATTTGGTCATCATCATCATAGTTACAATCCGATATAATGTGATTTCACTTGAAACTTTTGTTGCACGATTTTGAAATTTATGGGTTGGTTTCATGTACTACTATGAAAAAAATTATAAATTCTAACAAGTTGGTTGTCTTATATATGCCTAGATTTTACACTTTCTTCCATCTACACCAGATCAACTAAAATCTGGCGTTCTATTTTTAGACGCCAGATTCGCCAAAATTAATCTGGCCAAAATTCCATACATGATAAAGACGGACAGAGGTACTGTAACTCCAAGCAAGGAGAAGGCGGGGAAGAGAAATTTAGGGTAGGAATGCGTGCTCTCAAAACAGCCCGTGAGTGCATGACCTTGAATTTGGTGAAGTGCTGATCACGAATCTCAGGATGCTTCTAACTTGTCTAAATTTGCGAATAGTTACGAACTCAGCCGTGGCGAGCAAGTTGCGCACAACAAAAAGAGAAAAGGTAAGAAAAATACATTTCGTATTTTTTTTCACTCTCTTATTTTTGTATAATTTATGTAAGCTTGTTTGTTTTTTATGAACGTGAGTCTGTTTTTGGCTGGAACATAAGTACTCAAGTACATTTCATATTTTTTTTCACTTCTTTACTTTCATATCAATTCTATAGCATAATTGGGAGTCCACTCTTGGCTAGATTATAAGTGCCAGGAACATTTCCAACAAATTTTATTTCTTTTCTTTCATATCATTTCTGTAGAATATTTTTTGATCATCGTGCGTCTTTTCTTGGCTGAAACATAATGGCTCAACTATATTTCATATCTTTTATTCATTTTATTTTATTTTTATATCATTTCTCTATCATGTTTGTTTTGATCATTGTGAGTCTTCTAGCGCTTTTAAATGCGATTAAAAACAACTTTTCCATCATCAAATGGGAGAAAGATAACTCCCGCAACAGCCTGACGAACCTTTCTTTGGCGGGCATTGTGCATGAGAAGCAATTCAAAACCCTTGAAAAACGTTTATTGCTAAGCCATCTGACGAATAATAGTGAAATCACAGTGTTGATGTCAAAAATCCCAGAAGTAAGTAAACAAATTGCCAAAATTACCTTAACTCTGGCAAAACTTGCATTTGCCAGATTTTATGAGTCCTGATCTATATACACTTTCACAACATAGCTCTAAGATACATCATAATACATAAAATTATATATATATTCCACATCTATAAATAATTCTATTCACATATATCTTACATTCAACTCATACAAATCTACTTTCAGCCAAAAAAAATTATCGTGTGTTCTTGATAATACATCAAAAACAGAATAAAAAAAATTTCAAATGATATCCAAAAATATTTGAAATCATTATGATAATTACTATCTAAAAGGGTATTATTCATTATATCGTTTTATTATAGTGTGAATGCAATAGTGTAGAATTTGGTATATATTTATGTGGATGAAATAAATATGCAACACATTCAATGCATGTTAAAAGATACAAGCTCAATTTTATCAACAAATTTGTGAGAATTCAATGTTAGCATTAACTTTGGTTTCTTTAAACTCATGTAGTCCAACCCTAGTTAGGATTTAGGTTTTTCTGTTCACTACAAAGCAAAGCTAGCCATATCTCTCCTTGAACACTTTAATATTTTTGTGGATAGTATTTTATTTTTTGTAAGATAATATATTTTTAATTTAAAACGCTTAGAATTAATACATTTCTATAAATATATTGACGTATAACATGTAAAAATAATTATGATACATAAAATCACTTTCTTTCCAAATCATCATTTTTTAATTGAATTTTTATTATTAAAATTTATTTAATATTGTACAAAATCATATAAATTAAATACTCAATTAAAATACATAACTTTTATTTTTAAACATATAATATTATTTACAAAAAAATTAATCTACTTCTTACTTGTTGGCAATAAGTACACTTTAAACACTTTACACGTTTTTTTTACATCATATTCTTAAAATTGATTTTTTAATATAATTGTAAACATATTTTTAACTTACACGGCTTATACTTTTGTGATACTTTAGATGATTCACATATCAATACAATGAATCAACATAAAATCATGTAGAATTGATGAAAATTATATGGTTTGTATAAGTTATGAAAAAATTCATAGCAATTGTTTTAAAAAATTGTATATTTAGTTATTTAAATATTGAAATTTATTCCATATATTTTTTTGAAAATATTTATTTAATTCTGTACCTTTTCACAATGAATCAAAAATTCATTCAAACGATTACATGTTTTTTTTTTCATTAGAGTATTGCATCATCTAAATAAACAGGTTGACTAATGATATAGTGAAAATCATGCTTTTATGCCATTTGTATATAATTTTAAATGAAATTACTAATTTATTGATGTTTTTTGCTCATATTTGTTATATGATAAATTACGTGTATATGATACTTTTAATTATATTTAAGCATACATATTCAAAATTAATTTGAAAATATAAATTTTGTTTGAAACTAAAATTTGATGTTAACCAAATATTGAGTAAAAAAAGTTGACATGAGGCAAGACATTGCAAGACAATGAACAAAATTTTTAAATTATTTAATAATCAATCAAAAATTAAGTGATTTTGATGAAGAATGTCAAAAATATTTTTTTTGTATAATGCATTGATAAACAAATTATGACTACAAAACAAAAGTACATGGAGATGTAAAATCAATCAAAAAATGTAATGATCAAATAAAATAAATTTCATGAAATTACATTTTATATCAAAATAAAAATTTCAAACAAAACACAAAATATCTAAATGATATATTTATATTATCAAAACATAACAAAAACATGCAGAAAATCAACTTCTCATCAAATTGCTTCATGGATTGAATATTTTGTGTGAATAACTTGTATAATTGCTCAAATGATTTTGTCTTCAATCACTCTTTTGTTTTTTTGCAACAAAATGTCGTCAAAATCCTAACAACTTGCATTGGTTAGAAAAAGATAAAGACTTTGGCTCGATTGGGATAGACATGAGGCGTTTGTTAAATCACATCATGGTAAACATGAGATCGTCAAAATGCTTTTCGGGCGATGGTTTTAAAATGTCAAAGATGGGATTTTCTCGGTTAGCTTTGATATCAAGTAGTTTCGTGTTGAATCGCATCTTTTGGAAGTACATAATATTCAATTTTTATTCAAAATTTTTGATGAATTCTATGAATTTAAATTTCAACTGAAATATTCTTATCTGGAATACATGCTTATGATATTCCAGAAGAAAAAATTGAACGGAGGTATCTATAAAAGAGAAGAAAGAAACATATTTGTTCTTTTCTAAACACATTTCTGATTGTACAACGATGACATTGTTGTCGACGCTTACGTAGGTACTATTATTGGTGTCGTCGTATTTAAAAGTATTGTCAGCGCGTCCACCTGCCACATTGGTGACTAAGAACTCAAAAACCTGAAATGATGGGTTCGGGTGTAGTTGTCCATCAAAAGAAGGGGGCCGAGAAATAAAGCAAAAAGGATCTAAGACCCATACAAGGATGAAAGCAAACAGTTGTCATACAGCGAAGGCCCATTGATGCCAAAGCGGGAACAACGCAAGGTCCTCCCCATTCAAGAACTCAGATACACACATGTATAATGAAGATTGCATGAAACAAATTCAAAGTTAAATTTAGAGGTCTGTAAAACACGCACATTATACTCCCTCATTTTTCTCCCTTATTGTTGCAATCTTCCATATCCTAAATCTATACAAGGCTTTTGCATGTGACCCTCGTAAAACTACAAAAGGGGTGCGATAATCCATTTATTCAAATCATTTTTGTAATCTTTAGTATCCTAAATGTAAATTATTCTTTACCTTGTGCACTAAATATTCTAGTGGACGAACACCCATCATCCCATACAAAAATAAATCCAAACGGGTATTGCGTGTAATTTGTTCATTATATACTACAGAGTTTGGAAATTTGAAAAACTTCGGATGGTGCTGGTAAAATTTTGAAATGAGACATAGAAATTTGTACTATATTTGTACAAAGTTGTAGATATCAGTCGTGCTTTTTTGCAGTTAATACTCTACTTAATCACACTTCATGCGGTCCTATTATAAGGTACTTCCAACTTTGTGGTTCTATAAATTTGGATTCTATAGAGGAAAGAAATTAAAATTTTATGAATTTTGCTGCATAGATGGGATCAAGTACAAACTATATCATTGGATAGCATTTTCCACATATGCATAGAATTCTCTATTGTGAAATTTTGTATATAATATCTATAGTAAGTCTCTATAAAAATCATTGAGAGCAGAGTTGAGGCTTATTGGGATGCTAGCTTGACTATGACAAAAATCGGCTAAAATTAGTATCTATTACATATGTAATAGTGACTAATGGGTAATGATGTCAAGGAGTAAATACAGATGAAACTGCTACAAATGAATGTTATAGGAGATACCATGTCTTATGCTGCAGTGTTGATTATTAATTGAGAAATTTTACATATAGTAAGAGTAATTCTACATAATTCCAGTTTTTTTTTCTTTTACAATAAATGGGTAAGATACAGTTATATCATATAAAAGTAATAGAGATTTACTTGATGGAACCTAGCAAAACACAAAATATTTATTGAAGCCCACGATGATTCATTTTATTCGATGTGATCTCCACGGTCTTGTAGCTCGTTGTTATTCATGACCCAATAGGAGATATGGTTTAGGTTTAACCCAGTGTAAAAACAAGATTCATGCGGGAGGCCTGTGACAAACAAACAGAGGTCCTAAAACGTCCTCAAACGAGGCTCAACAGGATTTCAAAAGATTAAAAATGCATCAATGATCTATCCATACATGCAATCTTTTGGCAATCAAAGAGCTCATGAAACTAGATCTGTGGATAAAGCTAGGAGCTCACAATTGTGATAGCTACAATGAGCTACTTTAACAATCAAAACAACCAAGAGGAGTGAGAGGAGACAAAAAAAACTAAACCTGAGCTTTAGTTTATCAATGTCACGGTATATCATGCATACCGTGACATTGATGCATGACAGTTTTTATCAATCGGCTGGTTGTTATGAATTGAATTTTGTCACGAACTTGTAATCTCTTGAATATGATTGACGATATGCATGATAGAACTATTTGTCTTACAGGTTTGCTAAAAAAATGTTGCTAATATTATGCATTTCTAGCATCTTTATTTATAATCAGACACACTTTCATTCTAGACTTGTCTTAGTTTAATTCATTTAAACTAGAATACAGAGAATAAAAAAAAATCAGCAGTTACTCAACTTTTTGTCTGGAAAAATAAGAGCTTCGAATCTTTTTTGTGTCCAATCTAATTAGAATTGCATGTTTTACATAGACAACAAAGAGCCTATGGCTATGAAAGACATTTAGACGATTTATATAGAGCAGATTATAACCAATTATTCATGTTCAACTATGGAAGCTCTCAAGACTGAAACATTAGGCACATGAATATACATTCTTAATTCTTCAATTAATTTGGATACTATCTCGATCGAGAGCATAATTGCACTCCACAATTAAAAGTGCGCATATTTTCATCTCCTGTGCAATGAGTAGCACAAACTCAGAATCAAATGAACACTCATAGCCAAAGTAATACCGTGAGACTCTTTAGATCTAAACTCGTATTAGAATATGGGTGACTCTGGTTACAAGGCCGTCGGGGTTCCATTTGGTAAAATGAATTGTGTTAGGTCCAAGTGTTTAGAGTTACTAAAAACTGCAATCAAGTAGTTTTTTTAAAAAAATCATGCGCTATTAGATACTACCTTGACTGTCACATGTTGTAAAAAACCATAACCAAGAATCAAAATATTATTACGGTATAACATTTGTTACCGAATACTCCAATAAGGAATAACCTATAGTACCGAATGAAAATATTTCGATCCCGAACTCGGGTACATGTAGAGTAGGTATGTTTTTAATATTACCTCTACTAGGTAATAATCTCTGATACTGAATACCTGCCCCGTGCGATCCAATGGTATTTGGTATTGGAAGTTCTACTATATATAGCTGGAGATACAATTGAATAAGTATAGATAGGATTTTCAATTAAAGGATCCAGCGTTTTTTAATATTCCTCCGCTTAAACTTCACAAAGTGACTTTCCAGTTTCGCCAACTAGAGTAATTGGAACTAGAAACAAAATCACACACCTTCCAAAGTAACCTGAGTAGACATCACAGATTCTTTCATCGGATACTATTCTACTAGGAGTCTGAAACCTCCAAACTACTAAACCAGTGATGTACAACACCTACCGAATTTATGACTACATTCCTCTCTGATGGGGTTCATGAGAGATTTGACATTTTATTTACCATTATCAATTTAACTCAGACAAGAATTTGGTAGCACAGTATCGTTTTTGTCGATGGAACGTGTTGGTCGAGTTCAACGGATCAAGATCGAGAAAGCGCACCCTCCATAATACACGTGTCGGAAGGAGAAAGCGCAGGTCGGCCAAAGTCCGTCGGACAACTGACTGAACAAGGGGGGAGTCAAGAAAACAGTCTCAGAGCTTCGCTTCTCGGATGGCGAACTCGCTGAACTAGATTCTGTCCCGTACTTGACAACATTTGATTTCGAACGCCAGCTGCCGGATTTTCAATTTTTTCAAACCTGTGTATCTGCCAACGGCATTTATAATATGCCTCATGTGACATGTATGTAGGCATGCATGCCCCCTGAAAGCTAGCTACACATGATCATGGGGCATGTAATCGGAGCACGCAATGCGCGGCCCACCACATTCTTCTGTCCTTCATTGCCTGTGCTTTTAACTTTTCAGGCGGTCGTAGTGTGCGTGTTTCCAGAGAGGCGTGATTGATCTGATTGTTGTTATTTCTGTAATGCAAATACGCCAAAGCTCCGTTGACGTTCTCTCCGATAGTCGCAACTTCATTTTCTAGCCTGACGTGTTGACAATTTGTGGATCCTTCCACGTCTCTGGCTTTCCCGGCCCGTTTGGCTGCTTTCCGACGTAGATGCATTCAAGTATCTAACCTCTCACTTGCCCTTTTGCTGGACTGTAACTTCTTACGAACCTTTCCCGAGATATAGCTCTGTAGGGTTACTTTATCTTTTGTACTATACATCAGAGCCCAACATTGGGTGCCCATTCCAAAACCCACGCATGCCCATGGGTTTTGGGTGACATTATTTTTCCATGAGTAGACATGGGAGGTTATTATTTAATGGTGGGTTAAGATGTCAATAGGTTCCAAATGTATACGAACCCATGCCCATCAATACTGCTTGAGACCTGGAAACATCAATGAGTGATAATTCGAACCCCGGCCATCTCGTCTCCACATCCGACCGACACCGTGGGAGTTGGAATAGCTTGATTTTGACATTCACGTCATGTCAAAATCAAGCTACATGAGAATCTGCTCTTGACTGAGGAAAAACTATCATTAACCCAACAAACGCTACAAGTTTCAGCAACTGACTCCCAATGTGAACAACTTCCAGGGATGAATGTGTACATTAAATTGAGCTAAAAGCAAGATTGTCCTGGACGTCAAGTGAAGATGTAATTAAGGTTCTCAGAACTAAACAAAGCAATAAGTTTTAGATGGCATTCTATGGTACTGAAGCATCTTGTTCGTGTAGGCAGGTAGTCCACATTATACGATTCTTGAACACATGGGCGAAATCTGAATAGCATGGGTGGGCATAGGTCGCTGCTGATGGTTATGGCCTGGGTACAACTTTGAAGTCTATCAGAGGCCTCTGATGGACATTGAACATGGATTACCGGCGATTTTTAACGATGCTAAGGCCTAAGAAAAAGCATGGGCTTTCCACTGAATACTTCTTCTCTCACGCGGTTGACTCTAATAAGTTGATTGATATATTTCGTGTAAGAACAATAAATGAGACGTTCCTCTGATCCAACATGTAGAATTCCTTCCATATGCTTTGGAAACTCTGATCTCCATAAAGAATTGATGACTTCAAGTTCACAAAAATGAACAACAATATTTCTTCCTGGGCCTCCGGCATTCCTTCCGATTTCAATTTGAGTTGGCGATTGATACTAAGATAGATCTGGATCGTCTTTGGGATTGTGGGTTCGCTACTAAGCTGTAAAACTTCTGAGCAACGTGTAAATGTTCTCTCCCTAGGCACAAAGTTGACTCAGAGAAAAGCTATGTTAAGCCATATAATCACATATATTAAAATAATCATGGATAAGAGTCTAAATGTGAACAAGGTGAATCCAATGGGATCCCTGGGGTGCCAAACGGGTGTCAGTGGGAGCATGTGACGATTCAAAAACCCAAGCGAAGTCGCGAAGCTAAAACACTGGCCAAACATGAAAAAAACCGTAAGAGGAAGCATTCTTTTCCGGAAAAGTTCCTACGACCAGAATAACCGAAGAAGGCTTGCGCAATTAGGTCCAAAGCCTCTCGACTGTGGATACATATCCTTAAGCAGTACTAAAGATTTCTCATGACACGAGGAAAACTGCAAGTCTCATTTCAACTACGAGGACAAATCCACGAAAAACCAAAGCATCAGTTAGTATGTGTATATGACAACACGATTTGATGTGGTTCATCAGTTTGTCTTCTTTTAGGGCATATCAATCACAGAACAGGATAAAAACGCAATCTACCATTCACGTCCATTTGTTCCCACCGAGACACATACAAGACGAAATCACAGATGGACTCAGTAGCTTTCAAGTCGGACAGGTGTTGATGAATTAGAGCAGCTGTACTGCCCATAAACATTATTTTGATGAAAATTGTTCCAGGACTGCTTAGGAAACTGAGCACCTAATCAAATATTGACGGCTACCGTGGCCACTGAATAGGAAGAATGTGCCAGTTGTCAAGGTCACAGAACTCCAAAAAATGGGTTCACTAAAGCTGAGTTGATCTCCGCACCAGCCGTATTCAAAAGCATCACATCAACTTTCTCCCGAGCCAAGGAAAGAAACTCACCAGCTGTGTCTTTCTCAAAACCGCAGAGCTCTAGAAAAGAGACTCCTCCCATATTCCCAACTCTTTCCTGCACGGGAAGATTGCAACATCCAGTCAGAATCCGGACCTCCTAAGTGATATATAATTTGGTTTTGCTTAGCAAAGAAAAAATAAAATGGTTACGCTCCAACATAAATATGTAACCCATTCTCATTAAAAAGGGAAGAGGATTTGCAGTCATGCGGCAAGAGCATCATATTGTAGCTTCGGCAAACTTCTGACAAACCTGAAAAGTGGGATTGGTTAGCCGTATTTTTCGAAATTTTTCTTCGTCGGGAGACCGAACAACATTTCCTAAGTAGGTGAGCAACGTCTGAAACGCCTTCTTGACCTTGTCATCTTCATCCTGCATAAACCCAGAACCACAAGGAGAATTACAATCATTTGGTAAGAAAAAATAAGTACTATTATTATTACAAACATACTGACAGAGATTGATATTGGCCCACAAATCTCTAACTAACTGAAGATTATTCTGAGCCAGAAGGTTCTGTCCGATAACAAGTTACGTGTTGCCACGCTTCCGGGCTGTGCTTTGACTTTAAGAAACAGACGGTGACGAGAGAAGAGAAAAGCACATGACCAGCTTTTATTACCTTGTGTGCTTGTTTCATGCCACGCAGGCAGGTTCGCATTTGTTCGGCCTTCGAAGCGGGTCTTAACGGGACAAAACTCTATAAACAATAAGTGCATAAGGTAAGTATCGAAATTTTAGGCGAATTGACCAATAGTAAACTACTACTTCTTGATCTAATTGAAGGAACAATGACAATGGACGTAAAGCAGACCTTCTTCTCTTCTTTTGGAATGGGTGCTGGGGCGGACGTAGCTGGTTGAGGTTCTTCAGGTGGAAGGCCCAACTTTCGCCGTCGCTCTGCCTACACAGATATACGAAACGTAAACCGTTTTTAGCTTCCCATGATTCTTTTCCATCTGCTACTGGAACCAGGCTTCTTCCCTTCTATCACAAAGCACACAACTAGATTTATCAAGAAACTCATCAAACCAGAATCTCCAGTCTTGAAGGGTCTACATAAAAATGACTGTTCAATCCACTTGTACCACTAACTCAACATAAATCACATATGCATGATCAAAGATTTTCTCCATTTCTCCTAGCAATTACATAATTTTCTTGAATAGATAATGAGTATAAATATATAGAAACAGAAGTTCAGGAAGAGGATACCAAACGAGAACTGTGAATACAACATGATGTATGGACCCAAGAAACTTCGTCATTTTGTTCCCATCCGCTACGGGTGTAAGCCTATCGCCATAAAAATGATTAAAGACAAGCGAACTAATCCATCTTTGACCACTACTGAGTCAGCGATACCTTGTCTTCTTCCAGCTTCAAACGTATCTTCTCCCTTGCACGCTTCTCCTCCTCCTTTTCAGCCTTCCTAAGGATCATAATTCTGAAACAAAAACAACAAACGGTGGTTGTAATGACTGTACGTGTCCATAAGAAGGCACCAGCTTGAAACCCAAATGCCTCCATATTCATGAAACCAGTAGACACAACTTCCGTCATGTCTTCAAGATATCTCCCTACCTTCATTCTCATCAATGACAGTAAGCGTACGCAAATTCTAGTTCAGCGGCCAATCAGTGGTGTCTTTCACTATACCGTTTCCGCTCATTATCTTCCTCGATGCGGCGAGCTTCTTGCATCTCTCTGCCTATCCGGATTCGTTCCTGTTGCTCGTACAGATATAAAACCACAACACGTGAGAGGAGAAAGAGGAAGATCTCCTCAGCTCGGAGGGACCCATGACTTATAGACGATAACTGTCAAGACCGTTATAAGAACCATTACTAGTTGGAAAAGTAAAAGGCATCGTGCAGAAACGTGACTTCATTTCGTATCAAAGTTTGAAGTACGTACTTTCTCGCGCTCCTTTTCCATTCTCTTCTCCTCCTCGTCTTTCTTCTTGCGGGCACGTTCTCTATGTAGAAATACAAGGACATTCTAACAATCAACAGATGCCATGCAAGTAGGTAGCAGAACTTGTGCAAAAATCTCATATGGACAGGACACACAGTAACAAATGCCTCACTGTAAACACAAAGACCTAGAAGCACAAGATATGCCATTATAATCAGAAATATCTAGTGGGGAAAAAACGCTTTAAACAACAGTGTATGATGTGAAGCTTTTGAAAGATGCAGGAGTCAGACCCATGTGTGAAGTAAATGAGGTCAATTGTTTATCGTGTGAAGCAACAACTTATGACACATTGGATACATTTGTCAGTCGAAGAGAATGCCACAACAGGACCAAGTGATTCATTTAAGCATCAGGTACCCAGTAATGAACTGAAGTTAGAAAATTTTCTACCTCAGTTCCTGCGCCTTGGCTTTGGCTTCTTCAGGAGTCAACATGGATGCGACAGCGCCACCAGTAGCCCCAGCAGGAACCTGAACTTGTCAAATTTAACACTAGAGTCGTGAATGTTCTTTTAACATCTGACCTGGTGTATGAAACCTTCAATGTGTACAAGGGATTGAACAAAGATACAAAACTTCCAGAGGTTTTCGCAGGAAGATACATTTATAAACAAGATCACAGATAAGCAAAAACGAAGAGTTGACGAAAAGTACCATAGGCATTTCGTCGATATTGTCATCTCCTTCATGCTCAACAATCCAGGTAACAGCGCCTTCGATATTATCTGCACCTGTGAGTAGTAACCAAATGCATTGGCTTCACATATTAACATTGTGTAGCTCACAGTCTTCGCCAAGAACGTTTGAAGTCAGACCAGAAAGTGAATTGAGTTTAGCAACAGTCCTGACGTGACATTATATAAGCTCACTGCCCATATTCTAATAATCTCTCTCTCCCCCTCATGGTTGTTCTGCTGATTTCCACCTTGAACATCAACATGAGTGCTCGTAGAGTCACTTTGATACAAGCAGTCTCTTTGAGGTGTATGTGTCGTGTCCTGAATCTGCCTTCATACCAGAAAAGTGAAGCGACCTTGTAGCACGGGCTGTAGAGAAGCCCATTCCTTCAAGTTCCGCTAGTAGCTCTTTGTTCACTTCTGGGACCACCAAATCTGCATTCGCAATCTCCACTCTTTAGCTTACATAAAGGCATAGAGCGACATATAAAGACTGCAATGTGCTACGTGTTACGAACAAAGTCCAAAGATTAGATTACACTCGGATATAGAAAACTCGGATATAGACCCTAAACTTCAATAGAAAAAAGTTTGAGTAAAGCGAGTCAATTGTACTTAGCCACAAGCCATACTAATAGAACTTGGCATAATTGGAAGGAGACGAGGATCCTAAGGCAATTGCAAAGCTGAAAACTATTGAAACTAACCTGGAGGCTTAGCAGATCCATCCCCTGAGCTAGACCCACTTGGGCCGGCTCCGCCGTCTGGCTTTATCTCAAGTACTACAGGCTTGGCAGTTTCCGCTGTTTTATCCACGAACTCAGTATGCCCAGTTCTCTTTGTGTGCAGATCACTCTCCTGCAGTCAAAATTAATTATCAGACATTCTTACCAACAAATACAAGTAACTAGAAGCATTCAAGTTAGCTCGAGCTAGCTCAAGTAGCTCAAATCTATGGTCAACAACGTTGAACACTTTCATCAAGTTCCCTAGGTGGTAGGGAACTTTTAATTCATGACGAAAGCACTCACTGCGTTTAAACGCTGATATTTTATCTATATATCAGACTTTCAGACAACTGTTGACAAAGTTGCTCTTGGAAGTCACGTTCATTCTTCAAGCTACAGATAACCTACAGATAAAAGAAAAAGAGGACCAGATGAAAAGCTTACTGTTTTTGTGCGGCAAGGCTTTCCGCAAGTACTGCACACCAAATTGAGCACCTGCATTGCTCCAACCACATGGCAGAAGAGACGATTCCCTTTACAACAAAACCAGGGTTTCAATGCCCGTGCATTTTTCATGTCACATACCATTCAAATAATACTTGCTCAAACACAAGGACTTGGCATTCAAGGGTACCAAAGAGCACAGATTCGGGTATATTTTAATACTAGCACGTCTTCAGTTCACAAATTACTTCGCAAGTAACATGTCTCTGCTGCCGCTTGATATCTAGGATCCTAACAGCAGCTACTGCGGGTGAAAACACGTTGTGCAATATTGATACTTCATAATGTGATGAAGTCATTTCAAAAAGACAGGGGAACGTTCTCTGCGAGGCTATGTCTACTTGAAACGACAGTACACGATTCAGAAAAATGACTGCAACAAAAAACGGTGCAATCGTGGTTGAATTTTTTTAATTTCTCTCTACAGTTGCATCCTCACAAACAACTCGCAGGAGGTACTAGACAGGAGGTACTAGACAGGAGGTCAGACATTGATGGACCATAATATTCTGTCCTACTGCCTCTCCTCAAACGTGACCTGTCAACTGGCATAATTGACCAGCACTTATCTCTAAAAAAATGAATTCTCAATCGCTTCGAGACTCCTGCATTTTCACAAACTGAGAACAAATTGTGACCTCCATGCATGGTTTCTGAACTGAATTTTTGAAATTTCTTGTGGAGCGACTCAACAACGGGCAATTCTCAGCGAAGCACACGAGTCGCAGTGCTCGGAAAATTTTCAATGACAAAACCGTCAACAAAAAGGCATACAGCAGGACGAGATCAGCCTTTCAGTTCCGACGCAATCATCAACCTTGGGGAGGCTAAAGGCTTTACAGAGTAGAAGGTGGAGGCAAACTTAAGTTCAAGATTATGATTCTAAGCTCCACGAACACGCATTGAGGGAATTTTGAGAGAGAAGATCACAGACTAAAAGCATTTAAGATATACAATTCAAGTGACTCCCAACATATTCAGAATTATGAGTGTTAACACAAAGTTAATTGGCATCACTTCAGGCCTGGAAAACCAGTGACAAGCTCCAACAAATGCATATCCTGCTGAAGTCGAGAGGAGCCAAAACACCCCCGATACACACAGATAAAGCTGGATAAAATTGCAGGAAACAGATCTTCAAGAAGAGTGCAAAACAAATTAGATAGCTTCGACACACACAAGCCTTTTCACACGTTAAACACCGCTACAAATTGATCGAGCACGGTGCAGGTGACACGCATACGAACAAGCCAACCAGCAAGCAAGCCAACCATCGAACACAAATCTTCTACAAGCTATCGGCACGACGAACCCTCATGACTAGGGAGTCCCGATTCCATCAACAAAACTTAAAAACTAAAAACTAGAAAAATTGCGCAATCTGGTGGTACGCACTGGCTCAGTGGATTCTTCAAAGTTGGCGTGCCCAGTCAATTCGGCATGTTCCTGAGCTTCCTCCACTGTTCTTAACTGGACCTTGCAGTCCCCGCACTGCAGCGACAGGCCTGCCATACTCCTCTGCTTCTATCTACCTGCCTGTCTGTCTATCTGAGCGTCCGTCTCGTCGCAAGCACACTCTCTTCCCCTCGTCCTCTCTCGAGGCCGTCCCGATCATGCACGCATTTCTTCCTCCACTGACAGAATTCACATTTCTGATTTTCTCCCGGCGGTGGAGAGAAAACAACTCTCCAGGGCGTAAGGGACTCTCGACTTCTACAGAAATGAAATCAGTTTTCATTCCGTGGATCGAATCAATTTTCTAAATATTCCACAGTTTCCCCTCTTCATTCCTTTCTTTCCTCTTTTCTCCCTTCGTAACCCAATAGGCATTTTTGCTGTCCTAATTAGGGTAGGACTGAAGTCAACATGTAGGGTTCTGTCACTTCAGCCTGGGCTGCTGGCGTCTCCCCTGCTGTGCCAGCCATGTCGAAATGACTCCCACTGAGAAGGGAAATTCCCTCCATACGGACTGTTACGGACTAAGGGAGGACTTGCGAACAAGTCAAATGTTCCTCGTCGAGGTTGTACCGAATCTGTACTGCTGTTTGTCCGCTTTCACACCTCCGCTACTGTATTCCATGAGAAAAGTGGACGAGGTGGTCAGGTGAACTGACAAACCAACATTTTCACGCTCATGTTTATGCCTGGCTCGAAATGGGTCCAATCATGCAGAAATCTATCATGGTCTCCATCGTCTAGCTACCTTTCATAATAAAGCATCCCGCAGTAAGGAAACCTGGAAAATATGCGAGAAGCGAAAACCTTTTTAGTACATGGCATACTTCTGAGGTAGTCTCTTCACTGATGATAAACTGATTATAATTTTCTACACACAAATTCCACATGCTCACAGTAACATGCTGACACACGAAAACTAAATACATGTCAAGGCGATAAGCATTCTCTTTGATTCAAGTCTTCTCAGATATCGGAGAATTATGTGTCAGGAAATGTCTAAGACGCTAGAATTATCACGAAATAACAATCTGACAAGGAGATACTTAGTTTTTTCTGTGATAAGGATAAATTGTGTATAGTATAAAAAAGGATACTTACATGTGATCAATGAATCATGGAAAAAATTCATGTTGATGAATGCCGATGAATGCTGATGTCACTTGTATATAAAATCAAATGATAACATTTTCTAACGTTCTTTGACAGGCATGTATCTATATAAATATTCTTGTAACGAATGAAAATGATGTTTAAAAAAATAGATAAAAACCACTTATTATAAATGTTATGAAATTCAATTTTGACATCAACTTCTAGAAAAATTTAATGCTATAAGATTTTTTATCATAGTTTTCAATGGGCTACTTGTTGATACGACATTAGGTAATTTTATTGAAATGACATAAGCTTGTAGATGTTTATTATTTGCTCATATGTTTCATTTTTCTGGTGATATATATAAATCTTGGACATGATTTTTGTTGATAATGTGTAAACTAAGTTTCTATATTCTAACTTTATTGATTTCATATATATCTTCTCTTTGTTAGCTATACATTGGAGGAAATTACTTCACCAGACCCCTACTTGACACAACATGGTTACTGGATTCTAATAAGTATCATTTTATCCAATGAGACCCCACCGACGGGGTTTTATCATCCATGTTCTATATGGAGTTGGAAGCCAATATCACAATGGGCGCAAATAAGTTAAGATCTTTGAGCTAATGTTTCGGACGAGGGAGAGTGAACAAGTGCTAATTACATAGAGGATCACTGGCGACCCAATGCAAAAACAATCAAGATTTTTTTAATGCTCCATAGTTAAAAACCTGGATCTAAGCGGACTATATTTGCATACTGAAAATCAATGGTTCAGAAAATACTGACTCGAGATAATGTGCTGAAGTTTTCGTTATAGTTGCAACGTTTTTTTCACGAGCAATCTGCACATTGTGCACTCAACCAAATATGCGATCGATGACTTATGTACTCTCAGATAACTAACTATTATGGGAGTAACCCCAATACCCTGCTATTCTGTTTCATTTGGTGAGAATGCTATCGTGTTTTATTCACATTATTAAGTTTGCGCAATTGAGAATCAATATTTGAAATATTTTGTAAAAATCTTGCTCTTCTGTTTCATTTGGTGAGAGCACTGTCATGTTTTATTCACATGAATTTCGCGCGATTGAGACTCAATATCTGAGATATTTTGTAAAAATCAGTTGTGCGGATGCTGGATACAATGTCAGAAACTCGCTCTCAATCGCAACCCACGGTATTACGGCCAGCAACTCCACCTTCAACACCTCGTCTGCAATGAAGAGCTGCATAAACGAGTTCAATTCATGCATTTTCGAGTTTTTCACTGCGCTCAATTCGCAGGATAGAATACGCTCTTTCAAAGCAGCTGAACTCCTATTTGAGAAATTACAAGTCACCATCTGCACTCATGAATTGGATGACGACAACATTAAATGTCGGAGAGAAAGAGATTATATATTATGCATGAGAGAGTCTCTTGCATCTTTGTTTCTTTTGTCTCTTTTGATTTTCCTGGGTTTGGATATTTCGATTGCAAAGAATGCATTTTAGCTCGAAAATATTCAACTCTAACTAGATCACATAAGTTAGGCTAAGCCTAACACCAAGACACAATTTCATTCCAATGCTTGAGCTACGATTGGCGAGAATGAATTGCTTCAAAACAATAGTAGTAGGGGTTGCAATTTTGACTCCCAACCCAACAATGTGACCGTTATGCATATTGTGCATTCTCTTTCTTGCACATCTAGACGAGAACACATAATAACCCAAAGGGAGCTCAAAATCAAAGTTCGTGTTGAAATGTGCAAATTTGGCAAAGGTATTTTTTGTGCAAATTTAGTAAATAAGTATTTCACAAATTTAAATACATATTTGTATCTAAATATATAATCAATGTTTAAATGTGATGTACTATAAATTTGTTACACAATTAATTATATATATATATAAAAATTAGAAATTAGCATACTTATTTCCTATATTATAAAAACTATGATGGATATTATGTTTATACAACTTGTTAATTTTCTGCATAGAAATTTATAAATTTCTATGCAGAAAATTAACAAGTTGTATGCGTGATATGAATGGTTGTTATTTTATCAAAGAAATTTCATATATATATATATATATATATTACAACATATTCAAATGTAGATTATTTCTTTATATAACATATGTATTTAAATTTGAAGTATATGTATTGATAAAATATAATATATATGAAGCATATGTATTGAGGTTTTCAAGAGTTCCAACTTGCTGTGGAAAATGTTCATTGATTAGAAAAATCACAAAATAACTACAAAAGCATATGTATTACGAACTTAATATGAAAATGCTAGGTACTGAAGATGCGATGTGATTCTTCTCATCGCATCTGAATGACATTGCTGACAATTTAATGTGGAAACTCACAACATAATTCTTATTATACCTTGGTATATCTCATAAGAATTTAGTTTTGTCCGTTTTTTATGATTTAAATTTTAAACTTATGTATTAAATTTTACTTTAGAATGAGCAATCATAATTTGAGTTGAATCCAACTTAGAAAACATGTTTGTTCAGTCAAATTGGATATATGCGTTGGATTCAATCGTTGAACATTGGAAACTCTGTGTTTTAACTTTAGAACTTATTAGTACTGATGATAAGTTTTAAGATGAAGGTTATCATATTAGATTATGCTAGAATCATAACGAGTAAAATGATTTTACATGTGTGCGGATTCGTGTGAAACCATATGTGTGTGCTAAGATGGGAGAACAAACGGGAGAAAACCCCGCGGGTAGAAATTGGGTCTACCAGTTATCAAATATCAACAGGTTCGCAGCATGGGAACATGAGGCCTAAAAATAGCACGTCCAAATGTCCAAAATGCATTTGGTTTCCATCCCCTCATACATTTTTTCTTCCACTTGGCCCTCATTCTGAAGTTGAATTAGATAATAATTTACTGCGAGATGATAGATTTTTGATTGACAATATAGAGATTGGATAGCGTGAAAAAGACATATTTAACATTATTAGAGCATATTCCATTTACATCATAGATATGTCTTAGGATTGTGACTTGATAGACATTGTGTTTCATATAGGAACTATTTCTTTTCATAAAGTTGAAGCTTTAGCTTTTGATTGTAGTGAATATGTCTACCTATCAATGGTAAATTTTATATGTTTTGAGTTTGATTATTTACTACTTCATATATGTATTATTTAGAAATTAGCATAGGAAAAAAAAGATTTGGTAGTACTACAAGGAGAAATTTGAGATTCCTCTTGGAGTAGAGTAATAAGTTGGTCATGTTTTGCAACTACCTCTAGAATGTACTTATGTGAATACCAAAGATTTAGTGTGTTGATTTATATAGTGAAATAGCTTTGAGGCTAAAATTGAGTGGAAAATAATATACATTTGATCAAACATTACAAGTGACATTTTCAAAAATGTAAAAGTTTGCTGTGAACTCTGCTCAAATTTCATTTGGATTTAAGTCTAATGAATTTTTGGTAACTTATCATGATTTTAGAAGATTGATATACTGTCCATATCTAAACAACTATGGGGTTTACTTTTTTGTTTTTCTATAAAAAATTAACAAAACATAAACATATTTGTGTAGAAGATAGGTATATGAGTTGGAAAGAGTAGATTTATAGTAGTTATGATAGGATTAGTTAGATATCGTCTACGTCCGAAGATCTTCGGATCTTCGTGTCTTCGGCGTAGTCTTTCATGGACGTACGAAGAGTTGCGTCTTCGGCGAAGACATCGGAATCAATTTCAAATCATGCAACAAGCCGGACGATGCTCGCACGCGTCGGGAGTTCTACGAGGCGAGGGAGAAGGCAATGTTAAGGCTTCAAAGGTAAAGGCAGTACAAGGAGACTTTGCGCCGACATTGCGATATCAAGCAAGAACGAGCGAGAGAGAAAGGAATTGCAATTGAGCCAACCCGCGATTAGCGAAACGCAAATTGAAGACATGGCGCCCAATAAGAGTGAGAAGGTGAGGAAATTGGTTCCCTTGAAGGTGCCTTACGAAGAATTGAGACCCTTCAGACACGAGTTGAGAGAACTGCGGCTTGAATTCCTTTTGTGGAATTGGAATTGCGTCTCAGTGAGTATCTGCAAGGAAGTTATGGACAAGAGCACGGTCGAAGGCAAGGAGCTCCGCGGTAATCCCATGATGTGGACTATCAAACATTGGACGACGGTACTGGGATCCTGTGCTGCAACCTCCGGGCTGACTCTCACTCAGGTTTACCTCAGATGGCTTTTCGGTAGCTCATCATGATTCTAGAAGACTAGGATTCCGCATCATACTCATAACCTAAACACCCTCTCACACAATCTCTCAAGGTATCACTCCAACTCATATACTCATCGACACTCCAAGGTACTG